TACTTATCATTGCATTATCCACCAAGAGGCTGTGTGGAAAAGTTCTGGACATGAATGACATAATGACCACAGTCATTAAAACTATTAACTTTATACGGGCACATGGCCTGAATCATCGCCAGTTCCAGCAGTTTTTACAGGAGGTGGGTGCAGAGCATGGAGACGTGCCATACCACACAGAAGTAAGATGGCTGAGCAAGAGCGCAGTCCTCAAAAGATTTTTTGAGCTCAGAGAACAAATTGCTCTTTTCATGGAAAGTAAAGGAAAGCCCTTGCCTGAACTGTCGGATCCCGCCTGGCTATGTGATTTTGCTATGATGTGTGACATATGGGAGCATCTCGCCCAACTGAATCTGAAGCTGCAGGGACGCAAACAAGTCATCACGAAGATGTCTGACATGATCACAGCATTCCAGCGTAAACTTCAACTATGGAAGTCCCAACTGGAACAGGACAATCTTGCCCACTTTCCCGTTTGTTTGAGTATCTCAACCACTATTTCTGGTACTTTTCCTTGCAGTCGGCTGGCTACCAAAGTTAGCCGTTTACTAAGTGAATTTGAGCGGCGCTTCTCTGACTTTAGAACACAGCACTCAGGCTTTGACATCTTTGCCAATCCTTTTACAGTTGATGTCAACAATGTGCCCCATCACCTTCAGATGGAGATAATCGAGCTTCAGTCTGACAGTGGCCTGAAATCAAGGTTTCAGGATGTTGAAATTGAGGACTTCTACCCTCTACTGCCCCCTGACTCAATGCCAGAGCTCCGACTTCATGCTGCCCGTATTCTATCCATGTTCGGAAGCACCTATCTTTGTGAACAGATGTTTTCAATAATGAATCTGAACAAAAACAAGCACAGATCACGCATTACCGATGACAACCTCCATGCTGTTTTGCGGGTTGCTACAGCACAAGAAATAAAACTGAACATTGACTCATTGATCCGGGGAAAACGGTGTCAGACATCTAGCCAGAAAACAAAACAATGAGCATTTTAGGTACATTCCAATATTACTGTTTTGCTTGATACCAATATTAGTGTTTTGCTTGATAGCATGTGAGTTGGTTAACAGCACTGTTAAGGAAAAGATTGTTCCACTCATTTTAAATTCACATTTCTGGTTAACATTGTCAGTTTATGACTGTTCAGTAAACCATTCGGCCCGCGATTTAGGCTGGATTTTAGATTTTGGCCCCTTCTCTGATTGAGTTCGACACCCCTGGGATAGAGTGTTGGCTTGGGGACTGAAAAGTCCCAGGTTCGATTCCGGTCAAGGGCATGTACCTTGGTTGTGGGCATATCCCCAGTAGGGGGTGTGCAAGAGACAGCTGATCGATGACTCTCTCTCATCGATGTTTCTAACTCTCTATTTCCCTTCCTCTCTGTACAAAATCAATAAAATATATTTTAAAAAAAGAAAAGAAAAGGATGAGATCAAAGGATCCCAATTCCCAGCTACAGCATTGTATAATGACCTGAAAGCTTCTAAGTCTATCCATCCTGAGTCTTTTGACATCAGCAGTTGGATACCTCAAATAGCTGAAAACTCAACTCAGAATCTCATGTAAGTGGCTGAATTGCAATGCGAATTGACAAGTGAGGGCATTGATGAAGAAGCAATGGTTTCCTGAAATTTGGAATGGAAATGTGAGAACACCCTGATGAGTCTGGATGTTGAGCTCCTCAATCTTGTTGAATTCTTTTAGCCAGTAGAAGTAACCTCTCTGTCTTTAGCTCTGGAGATCTACCCAGCTTTGCCCTAAGAAACTGTAATGGTCTCCCCTGAGGCAGTTCCCTTACAAGGCACTGATTGTCTTCAGGACCCATGCCCTCCACCCCTCTTTTTTTCTAAAACTATAAATGACTAAAGTCCCAGCAGGCCCTCGAGGCACAAGTAAATTACAGGAATAAATGGCCCAAATATCCATCATGCCAACTCCTGCTACATATACTACCTTCTTCTCACAGCCTGCACCTGTGGCCTCAGAGAAAGTTTCCTGTGATCAGTTAACAGAGGAAGAGGCAACGAGGGCCTGGCTTACAGATGGTTATGAGGCACCACCCAGATGTGGACAGCTGCAGTTTTACAGCTCCTTTCTGGGACATCCCTAAAGGACCATGGTAACAGAAAATCCTCCCAGCAGGCAGAACGCCAACCAATGAATCTGGTTATATACTTTGCTTGGAAGGAGAAATGGCCTGATGAGTGATTATATACCAATTTATGGGCTGTGGCCAGTGCGGTTCGGCTGGATGGTCAGGGACTTGGAAGAAACATGATTTAAAAACTGGTGACAAGGAAGTCTGGGGAGGGGATTTGTGGACCTCTCTGAATGGACATAGGATGTGAAGACATTTGTGTCCCATGTGAATGTTCACCAAAGGATGACCTCAGCAGAAGGGAAATTTAGTAAGCGGCTAGAATAGCTTGTTCTGTGGATACCAGCTGACCTCTTTTCCTAGCCACTGCTGTCATTGCCCAATGGATTAATTTTATGAGGAACCACCACACTGTTTTCCACAGTGACTGTACCATCAATGGGGCAAAAGGGTTCTAATTTCTCTACATTTTTTATTCGTTTTTGTGTGTTTGTTTTTTATAGTAGTCATTCTAATGGGTATAAGGTGGTTTCTCATTGCTGTTTTGATTTGCATTTCCCCAGGGATTAGTGATGGTGAACATATTTTCACGATGCTTTTTTTGCATCAGTTGATACAATCATGTGATTTTCATTCTTTAGACCACATGTGTCAAACACAAAGCCCGAGGGCCAAATCCGTCCCGCCAGGCCTTGCAATGTGGCCCGCACCGCGCTGTCATCATTGCACTCCCCTGCGTTTCCATCACAATGACAGTTTATGACTGTTCAGTAAACCATTCGGCCCGCGATTAGGCTGGATTTTAGATTTTGGCCCCTTCTCTGATTGAGTTCGACACCCCTACTTTAGACTGTTAATATATGCCTGGCTGACCAGCAACCCCTGAATGATGATGAACAGATTACTCTGTCACAGTTTGACTGTGGGGGAGAGGGCTAGGGGATGGCCTGACTGACAGCAGCCAGGCAGCCTCGATTGCCTGCCTCTTAGCCTTATACTAGTATTGCAGTTTTTATCTTTAGATACAACCATAGGGTGAGTAATCTTGGAAGGACACAAGTATTTACATTGTCCTCTAGGCAAGGGCATTCAGGGGTTAAGCATAGGGATTCCAGTAAACACCCGGGGGGTCTGCATGTGCACAGGACTGTTTGGAAAGGTCAAGGAATAATTAGGAGTGCCGCCTTCACTCCCCTAAGTCTCCCCTAAGTCAATATTCCAGGAGAACAACAATGAAGCTCCTTATGATCTGTTTATATTCTATGCCTGGTCTGGCAACATTACTTCCTGATAGTTACAAGGACCTGTGCTTGTACCTGATTGTTACATGTTCCATCCTTTAGCTTCCTCTGGACTTTTTTTTTTTTAACGTGGTATGTGCTCTAGCTAAACAGTGTGTATGTACAACACTGCCATCTCATGCTCACAAATGTTAATACAGGTGAGGCTGGCGTAGGGACTAAGTGTAGTTGACAGATTTTACTTAGTATAAATATTTTATTTGAAATCTTTAATATTAAGCACCGATGAAGCATAAATAATTGCAGAAATGAATTCTGCCTTTCACGTTTATTGTACTTTGCATTCTTTTCTCCTTTAAATAAACTCTCAATTACCATTTATACTTATGGTATATGTAAACATTTGTTATCTAACATCTCGTTTCCAATTACCACAAAACATAAACAGGTTCCTGATTAGATTGTTATTTTAAACTTCCTTATTTTGCCTGTCCTCTCTCCTCCCCCACCCCCTCTAATTGTATAATCTTTTACCTCATATTTCTTTTTTTTAAAGATATATTTTATTGATTTTTTACAGAGAGGAAGAGAGAAAGAGAGAAACATCAATGAGAGAGACATCGATCAGTCGCCTCTTGCACACCACCTACTGGGGATGTGCCCGCAACCAAGGTACATGCCCGTGACTGGAATCGAACCCGGGACCTTTCAGTCCGCAGGCCGACGCTCTATTCACTGAGCCAAACCGGTCTCAGCTACCTCATATTTCAAATCATCAAAATTCCCCCTCTGCATCCTTCCTCAGAACCATCTCCAGCAGATCTGGGAGGAATTAAACCGGGTGTGTCACAAACAAACAACCGTTTCTTACTTAATGAAATATGAGAATATTGAACTTAAAGGCACATCTAGCCAAAGAGCCTCAGGCCTCCTGCTTCTGAGTGGAGGTGTGGTTTTTGAGGGGTTCTGTAGCTCAGGGCAGGGGACCTGTGACCACGTGTCTTGCTCCAGCGATTGCATCCCCTCTGCCCGAGTGGCCGTGTTGGAGGCGCCTGCAGGGCTGACTGGCAGCACCTGAGGCTCAGGGTTGTGTTTAGGGGGGGACCTCTCTGCGCAGCTCCAGCCAGCTGTAAGTATTCAAAGGTAAATGTTAGGGGGCAATCAGTTTTACTTATTGTAGTCAACATGAAAAAGTAATAGCTGGGCAAGTGACACCTAGAAGAAAAGATAAAAACATAAAGGGTGCAAAGGTTCCCTTTCTCATTTATGGTTTTCTGCATTTCAGTTGGTTTTAAACATGGTTTTAAACATTCTCTCGGGACCTACATTCCTACAAGAGCTTAATGTATAAAAAAAATTAATAAAATATGTAAATATAAATAAATTTAAAAAAAAAAGAAAAAAAAAGGCCTCTACGGCTTTTGTGAGTCGCAAAGTCAGTGCAGAGGTCCCTGGTTTCTCTCACGTACCCTCATCCAAGCGGTGGTTCCGAAGGCCGGGTGCTCTGGTTCCGTCCCTGCAGGTGGAGCGGTGCGGCCCAGCGCGGAGGCGCAGCGTGAAGCCGGTGAAGTGCAGGTCTAGGTCTAGGCTGCAGCGCGGAGCCCGGGAGGCGGGCGGGGCGGGCCCAGGGAGCCCCTCCCTGGGGGCGGGCCCGAGCCCTCTCCCCGGCCCCGCTCCGCAGCCTTCACTGGCGATAAAAGCACTTGCAAAACCGACGGGAGAGCGCCGCCCCATCAGCAGATTTCAAACGATTGCCTGATAAAGGGAGGCTCTGCGCGTCTGCCCGGGTCTCTTCCCTTGGAACCGCGCGGCCGATCGGATCGCGGGAGCCGGCCCGCGGGCCCTGCAGAGCGGCGCTCCGGCCGCGGGAGCCCGGCGGCGGCGGCCCAGGAGGCAGCGGCGGCGGCAGCGGCAGCGGCAGGGTGAGTCCGGGCGCGTGTGTCACTGCGGGCGCCCGCTTCCCGACCTCCCGCCCGCCGCGAGCGCCGCCAGCGCCTCCGCGAGCCCGCATTTACTTTCCTTAATCGGGATTGGTGAAGTATATTTCACATGGGATCTCAAGGCTGTCTTTTCATCAGTTTACTTCCCTGCAGTTTTTTTCTTTTTCTTCTTCCACTTGTTCCGTCCCACTGCTGCCTGCAACAGCATGAATGAATGATGCAATCCTGCACGGGGGAATCATGTTTGCAGGACTGGAAAAAGCTCCGAAGGCAGGGTGGCAGCGTCTGACTTTGTCGTCTTCTTTCCCACTGAAATTAGAATTTTAAATTTACCAGAGACACCTTATTGTAGTTGTAGAGATACAGCTTCAAATTGGGAGTTAAATAATTATTTCATTCATACACTTATTTACTCTACCTTCCTTATGTGCCTTGCACGGTATGGTTATATATTTGACTGGAGCCCGGCGTGTGGCTCAGTGGCTGAGCATGGACCTATGTACCAGAAGGTTAACACACGGTAGATTCTCGGCCAGGGTAGTACATGCCTGGGTTGCAGGCTCGATCCCCAGCAAGGGGCGTGCAGGAGGCAACCAATCAGTGATTCATCATTGATATTTCAATCTCTCCCTCTCCCTCCCTCTCTGAAATCAATTAAAAAATATGTTTTTGTAAAAAAAAGATATACTTTCGCCCGGCTGGCGTGACTCAGTGGTTGCTCTATGAACCTGGAGGTCACAGGTTCGAGGTCAGGGCATTCATGGTTTTTGAGTCTGAGCCAAACCGGTTATGGACAGTATAGTTTTTAAAAAGTATTTATTGATTTTATAGGAGGTATCAGTAATTCATTCCTTTTTATTGCTGAGTAGTGCTGCATTGTGGGGATATACCACAATTTGTTTATCCATTTATCTGCTGGTGGGCAGACGTTCTAGTTCCTATCATGAATAAAGCATCTCTGAATATGTTTTCATTTCTATTGGGGTAAATCTCCAGTAGTGAGGTTGCCGAGTCTTATGGGAATTACATGTTTAACTTTGTGAGAAACTGCCAAACGGTTTTCCAAAGTGTTTTTTTACCATTTTACGTCCCACCAGCAATCTGAGTTCCAATTAATTGTTCCATGTCCTCAACAATACTTGATATTGTCACTTTTTTATTTTAGTAATTCTTCTTCCTTTTTTTGGTTAATCTTCTCCTGAGGATATTTTTAGACAGAGTGGAAGGGAGGGGGAGAGAGTGGAAGGGAGGGAGAGAGACAGAAACATTGATGTGAGAGACATCAACCAGCTGCCTCACCCATCCTGGGCCAGGTATCAAATCTGCAACCCAGCCCAGCCACAGTGGTTCAGTGACTGAGTGTCGACCTATGAACCAGGAAGTCAGGGTTTATTCCGGGTCAGGACACTTGCCCAGGTTGCCAGCTTGATCTCCACTAGGGCATACAGGGGGCAGCTAATCAATGATTCTCTCTCATCATTATTGTTTCTGTCTCTCTCCCTTCCTCTCTGAAATCAATAAAAATATATTAAAAACAAACCTGCAACCCAGGTACTTGCCCTTGACCAGGAATCGAACTTGAGACCCTTTAGTACACAGGTCAACACTCTATCGACTGAGCCACATCGGTCAGGGCTCTGACTTATTTCACTTAACATAATACCCTTAAGTCCCCATCCATGTTGTCGCAAATGGCAAGATTTCTTTCTTTTTCATGGGTGAGCCATTTTCCATTGTATATAGGTCTCACATCTTTATTCGTTTATAGACAGACACTTAGGTTGCTTCTACAAGTATATCTTGGCTGTTGTGAATAATGCTGCAGTGAACATAAGGGTGCATATGTCTTTTTGAATTAGTGTTTTAGTTTTCTCTGAATATATACCCAGTAGTGGAATTGCTGGGTCATAAGGTAGCTCTATTTTTAATTTTTTGAGGAACCTCCATACTGTTTTCCTTAGTGGCTGCACCAGTTTGCAATCCCACCAACAGTGCACGAGGGTTCCCTTATCTTCACATCCTCACCACACTTGTTTGTTGATTTGTTGATGATACCCATTCTGACAAGTGTGAGGTGATATCTCATTGTGGTTGAATTTGCATTGTTCTAATGCTTAGTATCATTGAGCATCTTTTCCTATGTCTATTGGTCATCTGTATGTCCTCTTTACAGAAATGTCTATTGAGTCCCTTTATCCACTTTTAAAAATTGGGTTGTTGTTGTTTTTTGGTGTTAGGTTGTATGATTTTGTTATGTATTTTGGACATTAATCTCCTATCCAATGTATCATTGGCAAATACACCCTCCTTCCTTTCTCCCCCTCTCTGATGCCTGAGGACTTATTCCTATAGTTGATTTCTAGTTTCATGCCACTGTAGTCAGAAAAATGCTTGATGTAATTTCAGTCTTCTTGAATTTATTGAGGTCTGTTTTATGGCCTAATATGTAGTCTAGCCTGGAATGTAAACCATTTACTCTTTGTTTATTGTTGTTGTTAATCATCACTCAAGAATATTTCTGCCATTGATTTTTAGAGAGAGTGGAAGGGAGGGAGAGAAACAAAGCATCCATTCTGGCTCCCTTCCTTTCCAACCTCACCTTCGAGTTTCCTGGCCTCGTGTTTTTAAATATGTCCTTTTCTCTTTTGGTTTTCCTCATAGGTTTTGCACTTTTACCCACGTCTATCTGCAGTTCTAATTAGGAGGACTGTGATCCCAGCGGTAGGCTTTGTTCCCCTGCTGGGCAGCGGGAGTCTCTGACTGTTCTTGGAATGCCGAGCGCTTTGACTCCTCAGCTGGGAGACAGAGGGGCTGTTTCTTGTAGAGCCCACAGCGCACCTTGTGGGTGTGCGCATTTTGTCCTCCCAGTGGGTCCTCTTCCCCCTTTTCCTCTCCTTTGGACCCTGCTACTCAGAGGCAGGCATTGCCCTGTGGCACCTGAAGCTTTTGCAGGGTCAGAGCCCCAGGAGAGACTGTGTTGCACCCTGTCTGGTGCGGGGAGGAGGCAGAGGTCAAGTGCGTCCCGAAGGAAGCAGTGCTGGGAGGAGGAGAGGGAAGCCAGACAGTCTCCCTCTTTCCAATCATGTGTCTGGACCTTGGTGTTCATTTCCTTGTACTTTGTTTCTAGGCTCTTTTTGCTCTTGCAGAACTCACAGGATCTCAAAGAAATCTGTAGTCAGAACCGTGTGTGCACTTTTGCTGAGGAAAGAGCAGGAAGAGGAGCGTCTCCTAGGAACCCAGCGCTGGAGGAACGTGAGTCGGGTTTGTCCTTTGTTGTTGTTCTTACGTGTTTGTCTGTCAGTTAAGTGGTGTACTCACAGTTTTAAATGTTAAACACTGCCCGCTGCAACGTTTGTGGAACGCATAAAATCTCAGGTTCCCCCTTTTTATCCTAAAATGTACTATAAATGGGACCCCTAGTCCTAGTTACAGGGAATACATTTTTAAAAATATATTTTTATTGATTTCAGAGAGGAAGGGAGAGGGAGAGAAACATTAATGATGAGAGAATCATTGCCTGGCTGCCTCCTGCACACCCCACACTGCGGATGGAGCCCTCAACCCGGGCATGTGCCCTGACCGGGAATCACACCGTGACGTCCTGACTCATAGGCCAACGCTCAACCACTGAGCCACACCGCTGGGCTACGGGAAATAATCTGAACTCTCCTCTGATCCAGAAGCTTCTCAGACTCCTTGGTTCATTGTCTCAACTGCCTAAAGGGCCTGAAACAGACTCACCCCTCCTGCCATTTTGGCTATATTCCAATAACACTTTATTTATGGATCCTGAATTTTGGATTTCATGTAACTTTCATGTGCCTATAAAAAAGAAATAGTCATTATGAACAACAAATATGTAACTGTCAACAAGTGAATCTAAAAACTCAGGGAATTAAAAAACCTGATAAACAATATTAACTGTTGAATATAATAGAATCAGAGGTATGGAAGGGGAGTGGACTGACGATTCTCGGGGAAAAGGGGAGAGGGGGATGTATTATAGGAAGAGACTGAACATAAATTGTGTACCTATGGATGAGGACAATGGCGAGTGGGGAAAGGGCAGAGGATGGGGTGGGAACCTGGTGGAGGGGAGCAATGGAGGGGCGGGGAGAGGAACATCTGTAATAATATGAACAATAAAGATTCATTTAAAAAAAAGAAAGAAAGAAAGAAATAGAGTCACTTTAAAATGGAGTCAGAGTCCTCATCCCAGAGGGACTGCCTTGCTCACTTTATGTCTGAAGCCTTTGTGATGTTAGAACAGGCACAACAACCTTTGGACGGGGCCTAACAGCATTGTGTCCCCAGCAACTGTTTGCAGAGATGACAAGAAACCAGATATTGTGACTTCAGGGACTGACCGGACTGAAAATCAACAACGTTCTTTAGAATTAGCGCCCCTGTGTTAGCTTGTCTGCACCTATAGAAATTCCTTCTGTTGGTGTAATCGGTCTCCTTTCCTTTCTCATAAATACTCCTGGACTTCTAATCAGAACACTAATTGGGTTTCTTTTTGAATCAGTGCTTCCCAATAGCTATTCTTTTGATCTCAAATGCTTGTTGCCTTTCACTCTGGCCTTTTATCTTTAGGTGACATGTCACAAAACATTATTCTTCTGTTGATTTTTTTCAACTATTTTAAATGTAAAAACTTTTGGCCTGTGCACCTAAGGGTTGAGGGTTCCCTTTCCAGTCCAGGGCACATACCTGGGTTGCAGGTTTGATCCCTGAGTCCCAGTCAGGGCAAGTTCTGGAGGCAACCAATCCATGTGACTCTCCCCTCTCCCTTTCTTCCCTCCCCTCCCCTCCCCTCTGAAAATCAATGAGAAAAAATATTCTCGGGTGAGAATTAACAAAAAAATAAAAAACCACTCTTCATAGGCCATACAAAAACAGATGGCAGGCTGAATTTGGCCTACTGGCTGTAGTTAGCTGACCCCTGGCTTAAAAGACATTTTTTTCTAGGTCAAATTTGAACTGGGTCATCTGCCAAAGGCATTGGTTAGATCAGTTAGGAAGTGAGTTGGCCATCTCCTGTGAGTCTGTTTTCAGCTGATGTCTATTCTAAACACAGATTATTTATATCATTCCTGTGGCCTTGTTCCTGACACATTACTGTCTTTGGGGGCATGCTATCCATTATTCTTCCTTCACATCTTTGGCCATGGCTTTTCCCTGCCTCTGCCATCCCTCCCCTGTCTCCTGGCCTCCATCTCCCTCCTTTCTGCTCCCAGCACACCCCAAACTGATACCCGGCCCTTTGGGAACCCACTCAGAGGGCCACCTGCCCCTTCAGCTCATATGCCCGTGCCTCCTGGAAGCCCTGCTTCATAGATAGGATTAAATGTTTTCTTCCTGTGCTCATAGTATCTTATGTACATTTCTATTTTAGCACTTGCTGTATTGCTGCTGTTATGATGTCAGAAACAGTTGCATGTTGGTTGAACACCAAATGTATTTACAAGTTGTCACCTTTAGTGGACTGAGTTGTTGGGAACAGACTTTTGGGTCTGCTCATCTTTGTAGCCCCAGAGCCTGACGTTTAGAAAGTGCTTAATTTGTGTTAAAAAAAAATCATGTTTTTGCGGGCTGTACTGAGTTTGATGTAAATCAAAGTACTTTGGCATTCGTAGGCAAAATTGGGCCATTTTATGCTTATATTTTATATCCTTAGACATATTTATCTTTTTATTTTTTTTAATCTTTTTGTCATAGGAAGAAAATTCTTGTAAGGATGGTGTCCCACTCAGAGCTGAGGAAACTCTTCTGCTCGGCCGATGCAGTGTGCTTTGACGTGGACAGCACGGTCATCAGGGAAGAGGGGATTGACGAGCTGGCCAAGATCTGCGGCGTGGCGGATGCTGTGTCAGAAATGTAGGCGCGGCCGAAACCGGTTTGGCTCAATGCATAGAGCGTCGGCTTGGGGACTGAAAGGTCCTGGGTTCGATTCCGGTCAAGGGCATGTACCTTGGTTGCTGGCATATCACCGGTAGGGGGTGTGCAAGAGGCAGCTGATCGGTGACTCTCTCTCATCGATGTTTCTAACTCTCTATCTCTCTCCCTTCCTCTCTGTACAAAATCAATAAAATATTAAAAAAAAAGAAAAAGAAAAAAGAAAAAAAAAGAAATGTAGGCGCGGTGCTCACTCGCTGTCTGGAGGGTAGAGGCGTGCGAAAGAGATGAACTTCTGCGTGACATGCAGGATCAGAGCCTCAGTTCTGGTTTTCGTTCCTGGTTATGAAACACGGGCAGGAGGCTCTCCCTTCCATCACTTAGAGCCGTGTTGGGAGGTGGTCATTATCTACTCATCCACTTTTACTCTGCAGCTAGTTAGGGCAAAAAAGTTGCTTCTGACAAACAAATGTGGATAAGACACTCTCTTCCCTCGGTCAGGGGACAGTGGCCGTCACTAAAGAGGACGACTTGGGCGGGTTCTCCCGTGTCCAGTGCTTCGTGTCATGGTTGAAAGTGTGGCCTTCGTGGTCGGCTGGAAAGCTAGGTTTTTAAAAATATATATTTTATTGTTTTTTTTTTTTGCAGAGAGGAAGGGAGAGGGATAGAGAGCTAGAAACATCGATGGGAGAGAAACATCGATCAGCTGCCTCCTGCACGCCCCCCCACTAGGGATGTGCCCACAACCAAGGTACATGCCCTTGACTGGAATCGAACCCCGGACCTTTCAGTCCGCAGGCTGACGCTCTAGCCACTGAGCCACGCTGGGTAGGGCGGAAAGCTAGTTTCGGTTCAGAGACTCTCAGTGGAGGCCTGGCCCTCCTTAGTGCCATCTGCAGTCGCCAGGTCATGGGCCATTTCCTGCTCAGCTGCGTTTGATACAAGACATGCCCTGAAATGTTATGTGATTCTCAGGCAAGCCTTCAACACTTTGCTCTCAGGCCTCGCTCTTCGGCATCAGAGCCTGGCTGCTGTGCATGGGGCTCTGGGCAGCACCGCACTCATGGTGGGCGCTGTGGGAGTTGGGGGGCAGTTAGCCATGTAAACGTGGGGAACGGCTGACGTGGCCGGCCTGACTGTGGCTCTTCCTCCTAGGACCAAGCGAGCCATGGGCGGGGCCGTGCCCTTCAGGGCCGCCCTCTCCGAGCGCTTAGCGCTGATCCAGCCCTCCAGGGAGCAGGTGCAGAGGCTCATCGCCGAGCACCCCCCCCACCTGACCCCGGGCATACGGTAAGAGGAACGCTGGTCTGGGAATATTGTCTATCAGCAGTGCATTTTGGGGCATAGCCTTCTGAGGGCACCTCACCATTCCTTTATTCTTTTGATGGGGACAATATAATAAGTTTAATTTCAAAACATGTTTTTACTGTTGATGCTATTATAGATGCCCCCCATATTCCTTTGCCCACTTCCAGCTCCCCCCTCCCTCTGGCCACCACCACATTGTCAATGGGCGGTGCATGTATGTTCCTTGGCTAATCTCTTCACCATCTTTCCTGTCCCCCCTCGCCATTACTTTAGCGTTCCCTTCTATGTGGTTCTTTTGTCACTTATATAAGTGACCGTGCCCGTGTCTGCCTTCCTTCCCTCCCTCCCTAAGGAGAGATTGAGTCTCCTTATCTTGTGCTTTTTGGTTTAAGGGCAGAATACAGTTACGGAATGGTTTCCTAAAACCGCCAGGTCCCGCCCTTTCATGTGTAAGTGCATTTAGAAAAACATATATAAAACATCGGTTCACCAGGCAATATACTTTGTCCAGTGTACCTTGGACAAATGCATTCATGAGAAAAAAACATATGCAGAGATTTTAGATTCCTGTTTATGTTTTCTCTTTTGTATTAACCAGTGCTTGGTATTTCCTATTTCTTTTTTGCAGGGAGCTCGTCAGTCGCCTACACGAGCGCAATGTTCAGGTTTTCCTAATATCCGGTGGCTTTCGGAGCATCGTAGAGCACGTTGCTTCAAAGCTTAATATCCCATCGACCAATGTATTTGCCAATAGGCTGAAGTTCTACTTCAATGGTAAGACTTGACTGGTAACATTTCCCCTTTCTCATCAGTTTTAGTTTTCAATATTCTAGGCCAGTGGTCAGCAAACTCATTAGTCAACAGAGCCAAATATCAACAGTACGACGATTGAAATTTCTTTTGAGAGCCAAATTTTTTTAAAACTTAAACTACTTCTAACGCCACTTCTTCAAAATAGACTCGCCCAGGCCATGGTATTTTGTGGAAGAGCCACACTCAAGGGGCCAAAGAGCCACATGTGGCTTTTGAGGCGCGAGGTGCAGTGTGCCCACTGCGGGGCTAGGGAATGTCTGCTGGAATGCAACCTCAGGGAAGAGTCCTCAGGGTTAAATACTGAGATAGAGAATTATCTCCACAGTTATCTTTTGCTCCTTGGAATCCTTTGCTTAGCAAAATACACTTAGGGCGTCAGCTTTCCTAGCTGTGATATTCTTATAGTCATCTATCAGGATGCAAATGCCTGCACTTAGTAAACTGTTAATTGCCACGTGAGTCACATGACTTGTTTTGTTATGCATTATATCTCCGTTTTATGAGAGCTCTCGTGTGTTTGAACCAATTTAGACTCAGGAAGGAGAGTTCACTTGTTAGGAAGTCACTGCCCTGTAGCTGCCTCTGGAGGTGCCTCTGGCCCTTTAAGGACCTTCAGGGACCAGAGCTGTAGTTTTCTATTATCTTTTTGTTGTTGTTGTTAATCCTCACAACAAGGATATTTTCCAGTTGATTTTTAGAGAGGGGGTGGGGTGAGACAGAGAGAAACATCAATGTGAAAAAGACACAGCAATTGGTTGTCTCCCACATGCGCCCCAACTGGCCCCAGAGATCTAACCTGCAACTGAGGTCCATGCCCTTGACACTCTAACACTGAGCAGACCGGCTAGCTTTCTATTATCTTAAGATGTCTCCAGTTATGTCAAGGGATGGCTGACATTATTAAACTAAATAATCTTAATTTAACAATTTAAAATGTGTTAATAGAACACTTTCAATATAAAGATTATTAGAGAAGATTATGGTAAGAATGAAATAATTGATCAAATATAAGTTGAAATCTTATCTGAGATGAAATTACATATTAATTTATTTATAATTTTTAAAATATATTTTTACTGATTTCAGAGAGAGGGAGAGGGAGAGAGAGATAGAAACATCAATGATGAAAGAGAATCATTGATCTGCTGCTTCCTGCACACCCTCTACTGGGGCTCAAGTCTGAAATCTGGGCATGTGCCTTGATTGGGAATCAAACTTCAATCTCCTGGTTCATAGGTCAAGGTTCAGCCACTGAGTCACTCTAGCCATATTACCGTGTTTCCCCGAAAATAAGACATCCTCCGAAAATAAGACCTACTTACAGGTTTCCTTCTGAGTGAAATATAAGGCATCCCCCGAAAATAAGGCCCCTCTAGGCTCTGTCTCAGAATGCTATTGGTCCACTGATTCTGAAAGAAATGGAGTCACAAGAAATTCACCAGGAAATTCAGGAATTGGATTGTTATGATGATGTTCCAGAAGATGATGACATGATTGTCATTGAATAAATGAATAAATTCTTGATACTGTAAGATCCACAGTTTGTCTGGTTTGTGTTGACAACTACCATACTACCGTACCTATACAGGTAATAAATTTCCTTTATTTTCATTTAACAATAAATGTGTACCGTATTCTTCTTCATGGAAAAATAAGACATCCCCTGAAAATAAGACCTAGCGCATCTTTGGGAGGAAAAATTAATATAAGACACTGTCTTATTTTCGGGGAAACGGGGTACTACTTCATGCTGATCTGCTACCTTAATGTGGCTTGAGAATTAATTCACTATAAGCTTAGAGGATAAAACTTACCCAAGGCGGAACATAAAGGAGTGACATAAGGGAGTAACCTTGTATTTGTAATTTGAAAGCAAAGCTTGCTTATTCTGAGGAACCGGTGTGGAACTCCGGGCTGCGTCACTTCACTGAAGGCCATTCCTAGCTTTCTCAGTGACCTTCAGTGAGGGTGTCAACTCTGCAAAACGCTGATCCTAGGGATAATTCTGTGTGTCTAACAGTTTTAACTTCTCTTTCAAGGTGAATATGCAGGTTTTGATGAGACGCAGCCAACAGCTGACTCTGGCGGGAAAGGAAAAGTTATTAAACTTTTAAAGGAAAAATTTCACTTTAAGAGAATAGTCATGATTGGAGACGGCGCCACGGACCTGGAAGCCTGTCCTCCCGCGGTAGGTGACGGGCGTCCTGCTCTCCTCAGGCTGGGCTTTCGCTTTAGCCGGTTTAGAACTCAGTGGGACTTAGGAGAGTTAAACAAATTAAATGTCATCGGAAGAGAAAAAACAATCTACTCTTGCCGAAACCTGTCTGGCTCAGTGGATAGAGCACCGGCCTGCGGACTGAAGGGTCCCGGGTTCGATTCCGGTCAGGGGCATGCACCTTGGTTGTGGGCACATCCCCAGTAGGGGGTGTGCAAGAGGCAGCTGATGGATGATTCTCTCTCATGGATGTTTCTAACTCTCTATCCCTCTCTCTCTTTTCTGTAAAAAAATCAATAATAAAATATATATATATATATATATATATATATATATTTTAAATTTACTCTTAATATACCAGTTGACCTTTTGCAAACCCAAGAAAGGTTGCAAATAAGGAACTAAAAACTTTTCAAACGTTCAGCGCAGCCTCTAGTCCCTGCTGCACGGCCACCTCTTAGCCCAAGTGGGCGCTCAAGTAAGTCGGCTTTATTTCCTCCCATAATTCCACAGATAACACAGCTCTGGTAACTCTCCCACATTTTTATGTCCCCTTATAATTGATAAACTATTTCCTCACCCACTATGGCATTTAATCCTCACCACAGTCCTGGGAGGTGAAGTATGATGTCCTTGCCACTGCTTGGGAACTGAGGTTCATGCAGGTTGGATAACATGCCTATGTTAAAGGATTTTATTCTTCTGAATGAGGGGTGTTTCCTGAGACCACCAGGAAACAGGTGCTATGTAGCTAGGGTCCTATCCTAAATATCAAATGTGTCCATTGCACATAGGACTCCGCCTTTATGGTCTCACTCTAACTTAAAAACCAAACCAAAAATACAGGGGTGAGCTCTTTTACCACCTTGCTTCCTGAGATCTAAAAATGGCAACCGCCTTTGTAAATGATTAATCAGAAGTGGTTAAAGATCCTTTGGCCACCTCATAACATGGCTTGAATTGGTTCAAGATAATACATTTTTAAACATATATTTTATTGATTTTTTACAGAGAGGAAGGGAGATAGAGAGCCAGAAATATCAATGAGAGAGAAACATCGACCAGTTGCCTCTTGCACACCCCCTACCGGGGATGTGCCCGCAACCAAGGTACATGCCCTTGACCAGAATCGAACCCAGGACCTTTCAGTCCGCAGACCGACGTTCTACCACTGAGCCAAACCGGTTTCAGCAAGATAACACATTTTTATTATAGATGATTTGCCACCACATCGGGGTTGACTAAGTACACTGGGCTAGCATAATGAGGAAAACACGGACATAGAGGCAGTGTTCTCTCAGGGAGCTCCCGATCGTGTCGAGATATGAAGATCATACCTGTAGGTCAGGATTTGTAATTATCTTCCAAAATTACAAGTAGTCCAACTGAACCGGGAGAAGGTGTGTGCATGCAGGTGTGTGGCTGGGAAGGGCTCAGAGGCTCTGTGACCTACAGGAAGGTTGGTGGCCACCACACGTGGGCCTGGCAGGGCTCCGGGGAGGACGTTTCCAGAGGGGAGGCGGCAGGCAGAGGGGGTGTGTCAGGCACAGTTCTGGGCTGGTCAGGGGCAAGGACCAGCGGGCGGGTGCTTTCTCTTCAGCCACCGCGAAGACCCCACGCTTCACCAGGCGGGGTGTTACTTCAGGTCATGGGAAGCCCAGGAAGCTTCTGGGGAGAGGAGGGAGGAGTCAGTGTGTCAGGACAGCTGGGTTGGTGCTGGCATGTGGAGAGGGCTGCCACGGAGGCAGGAAGCTCAGCGAGGAGGTTAAATTGGAAAAAATAAATAAATAAATAAATAAATAAATAAATTATATATATATATATATATATATATATATATTATATATATTTTATATATATATATAATTATATATATATAATATATATATATATATAAATTTTTTTGATTATTTTTTCCTTCTTTTTAAAAAGGCTTAACCCTGCCCCTTGTTTCGTCTTCTTAGGATGTTTTCATCGGCTTTGGAGGAAACGTGATCAGGCAACAAGTAAAGGAAAACGCCAAATGGTACATCACCGATTTTGTAGAACTTCTGGGAGCACTGGAAGAATAATCCATTTTTATACAGTTCACAACTTCAGATTTTTAAAAAGTTACACAGTTTGATACTGTTTGTTTACAATTGCCTACTGCAACTTAATGGATACATTTTGGTACTGATTTTTTGGTACTGATTATCCGTACTTCCAAACTTTAGAAAGTCGCTTTTTCAAAAAAACTGTAGTTCAGTGTTATTACGAACATCAATTACCTGGAGAGTTTTATAATCTGAATTCTTTATGTATTTTCCTACCTTTATTTTATTTGAAGGTTTTTAAAAGTGGAGAGTAAATTAAACACCTTCTCTACTGAAAATGTGGATTAGGCAGCGAGTTATGAGGAAGTTAATATTAAGTGAATATTAGTTTTCCCTTTGATACATAAATAAAAGTTTATCCATGTATCAGAATGAATTTGTGGAATTTTTATTTCTTCCTGTCAAATGTATTTCAATACCGAATACTTCAAGTGTTTGCGTAGAAACAACCTCGAGGCAGGCAAGGGACCTGGGGATGGAGTGGAGGCCTCTGAGCGCAGGGCAGAGTGCTTGTCACGTGTTCCCACCACCAGGCCCCTACGCTCCCACCGCCCCCACCTCTGAGTGCCGCTCTGGGCGATGAAGGATGGGAGCCGTTTATTATCACTTGGAATTTGTCATTTAGGGAATGTCCAAAAAGGCTTAAAACAAACAAACAATGGATCTTAAAAGTTCTAGTCCTAAAAAAATGTGTATTTGATAACCACATGAATGGGGGGCGGGTGGGTGAGTAGGGGCCTTGTGGTGGGAACACGTGACAAGCACTCTGCCCAGTGCTCAGAGGGGTCTCCACTTCACCCCCAGGTTCCTTGCCTGCCTCAAGTAAAAGAACTGAAAACAAGTTTTACTCATTCTAACAGGGTCAGCACTTGCCCCTAAATGAATTAAGAAATTCTCCTAAGAGGACGACAGATGAACCATTTCTTACAGGTGACTCGGAATGACCTGGAAGCCAGGTTCATGTCTATTCTGAGCAGTGCCAAGGAAAGGGAATTTCAGAACATGGCTTTCAGAGTACGAGATTATATGCTCTCCCTAGAGGAAAAATCAGGTGTGGGTCAGTGGTCAAAGCATCAGCCCACACACTGAAAGGTTGTAGGTTTGATGTCCAGCCCTGATCAGGGCGTGTGCGGGAGGCAGCCAACTGATGTGTCTCTCACATTGATGTTTCTCTCCCTCCCTCTCTCCCTCCCTCCACTTACTCTGAAAAGCAATGAAAAAAATATCTTCAGGTGAGGATAAAAATAAAAAAGATGGATTTGGGAAGAGGCAGGCAATGGGTACTGTGATTCAATAGAAGAGGCCAGAAGGGTTTAATATTGGAAATTATTTGAAAAATGTATAATGTAACCAAACAATCAAATTTGGTCAAGTAATCGGGTAATTATTTAGCCAAATAATCAAATCGGATGAATCAGATTTCCTTCCGCATCAGGATGTCTATGCGAGAGACATGAGCTGGGCTTGGCAACATGTAGATGAGATCCCAACAAGGAGGCGCTTGTTCCGCGGTGGTTCCTCGTTGTGAAGCTCCTGGCAGCTCTCCTAGAAGCGCCGGGCGGCATTTGGACTTGGCAGGGCCGTGCTCTGGGCAGGACCGGGCAGGCCGGGTCTGTGAAGGGCGCTGGGAGCTGCCTGGGCTTTGCCACCACGCAGCGCGCGTGAGCTGGAGCAGGTCCTCGCCGCCGGGTAGGCAGCGGCCTGCGGAGCTGTGGCCCCGTCGGGGCCTGCCATCCGCAGGGCGTGGCCTGGACTGAAGGTGCACATTGGATTTGGCTCCGAGGAGTCCGATCTGCTGAGGAGTCGCGATGCCCACATAAAGCCTTTCCGAGCAGCGACAGCCCCTCCTCGCCCACAGGCTCCCAGCTCCCAGCTCCCAGCCAGGGGCACAAAGGCAGCTCACAATTCCTTCTTTGTTGTGTCCCAGGGGTGAGTTTGAAATGAGGCAACAACTGGCTTACCTCTTTCATGCTTTTCTCTTTTTCTTTTTGGTAAAGATCTCTTTTTGTATTCATTAAATTAACTGTGAAGAGATTTATAACATGCACAAATCTATTAACATTAAGCAGTTTTTAAAAAAAATTTCTTTATTGTAAGCAAGTCTTTTTGGCCCATGGGGAACCGCTACACAATGGCTCTCCCGGGCCTGAGGTATGTGGCTCCACTGGGCCGGGACTCGGAGGCGGCGGAGTGACACGGCTTCCCATCCCGTGACACGTCTGTCCTGTTATCAACGCGGCTTATGTAAACATGTAGCAGTGGGAGTCAGAAAATGAAGAACTTAAGTTTGTCATGGCATTAAGTTGAAAAAAGTCCCTCAAAACTTTTATTTGGTTAGAAAACCAAGGCAACCCCGTGGCCTTCCTCCCCTTCCTCCCCTCCATCTCCTGAGGATGGACGCCTGCTAGGAGCCTTCTCTCTTGTGCTTGGAGACACGTGTTTCTGCGGCACCGAGGGAGGCTCACCGCTGCCACTCCCACAAGCAGGGGGCTGCAGGGACTCGGGTGGTCAGCCACGGGAAGGGACGGCTCACACATGATGGCTTTTGCCTCAGGATCTTTATGATCAGGTTCAGAAAACCTGGGGAGTTATCTGACCACCAGTCAGATTTCTTGAGATTTTAACAAAGGGCGGGTTAGCAGCGAACTGACTCGTATTCCCTCCTTGGTTGTGGCCCGAGAGATGCCTTTTGTCACGATGATGTACCCGCGGGAAAGGCTTAACAAGCAAGACATTTTCTCTGTGAACAACCTGGTCTAGAACCAAGCTGTTCGGGATGGGAGGTGTCTGAGAATCGAGGTCTGACTGTGTTTTACTCTGCAGACTCACATATGCCCTCTGAACTGGGACACGTTATTTTTCAAGAGCAACAGGGTCATCCTCAGCTCAAGTTCATAAAAAAGATCGCAAGCATGTCATACGTGAAAAGTCAGAGATTTTATTGACTTTTATATGTTCGTGGAGAAAACCATTCACATGTAAAAGTTTGAAATTTGATATGAGATTTATTCACACTTTATTTTACACATAAATTACTTAATTTGGGGATCACAATTTTTCATTTCAAGAGGACTTTTACATGATTACATTCACAAAACTGGCACACTGTGTAAAAAACTAAAGCAAACAGAGCCGGACAAGTATGCAGCTTTATGCCAACTGAAATCTCAGCACACACCCCCCCTCATGCATGATCGCGGAAGTATCTGCTGTGACCTAATAGAATATTAATGGACAATGTCTGAGTTCATGAGTGATTGTTTATAAAATAAAACCTTTCTCAAGTGCTTCTCATTTTGTTATAGAAAAATATCACAAATAAAAATTAGTGCTATTCAAGGTGTTCATTTCAAAATCACATGATACACAGGGGTAAGCCATTTCCCCTCTCGTACAGACACCACCACACACTGCGCAGGACCCAATCAGCTCCCAGGCTCCCTGGCAGCACCACCAGCTTAATGATGAGTCACTAACCGACTGACTGATCGACAATGGGAGTGAATTAATTGACAATGGGAGTGAATTAAAACAGTCAGGTATCGGGTTTACTCATCATTTGCTCCTAGTCTGAGACTCAAAAAAACTGCCAGAGAAACATGACAAAATTTGTATTTCTTCCTGATACAAGAAATTTGTCTAAAAATCTGTAACTATAAGACAGATTTGCTTTTTAAAAGAAACTATTAATATCTTTTTCCTGGTTAGATTCTTAGAGAGGATTCACATTTTTAATTTGGGCCCTCTTCCCGGAGGGTGGGAAGGGTAGTTCAGTACTGTCCGGTTTATTCAACAAACGCAGGGGAGTTTCAGAGGACTACAGAGCACTGCTACAACCAAACGGTAATAGTTTCCTTTTCTTAGTCGTATGTAAATTTTAAAGAAAAGGGGTCTCTCATAAGCTATGTACAGCAGTTTACACTTCAGTGTTTTTCACTTGACATACAATTAAAATTAACTTGTGACAAATACTTGTCACATGAATTTATGTAGGCACATCTAAACTCTGCAGCTTTACTGGAGGGGTGAGGTCTTCTGTGGGATCATGATTCTGGATTCCATTTCCTGAATAAGTGGAACTGAACACAGAGTGAAGGTTACTGTGTTTGTTCTTTTCTGGACAGATAATGGTAAATATACATCAAACAGGTTTCTGAGAATGGTTAGAGTTGTGCTGCTTGAAATCAGAGTAAAGTATTGGAAAATGCAAGATAATGACAGATCAGCAAGTATCCTATAAAATGTTATTAAAATTAGAACAGATTCTGTCTAGAGATGTGTTTAATTTGTAGAAAATTAGGAAAATAGTGTTTTCTCAAAAGGTTCTTTGAACTAAAATAAACTCATATAAATGCAAGTAATGTTGCACCTGTTACTTATAAAACTCACTGCAGAATAAAACACACCTCTGAAAATTGATGAATGTGTAAGAATAAGCAACAAAAGACACAATTATATGACTTTTTTGAACTAAATGACTTATTTTTCTAGAACAAATTACTCTGATTTTCTTGGCAGTCCATGGGTGTAAATGTACACATGCAACATGGCTGGTACTTATTACCTATATAGGTATGGCCGGGTTGTATTCAGCCCTATTTTTCTTATAAAGATCAAGCAGCCATGCTTTCATAGTACATATATGTGATTATCCATGCACTCATAGGTATACATGTATATATACAAACATACACGAAAGTCTAAATATCAAGTTAAATTTCAAAATTATTTTTTAATTGCTGTATTAAATTGTAATGATTTTGTGAATGAACAATTTTGTTGAGAAAGGAAAAGTTTAGAACATTTTAAAAATAAATTTTCAGAGAATGTAGAAATGTGCAAAAAAAACCTTAATGATATAAAATTTACAACATATAAGAGTCTGAAAACTGTACCAGACAACTACTATGTTAAAGAATGAATGTTCTTTATTGAAAAAAAAATTATATAATTATGAAAGAAAAACTTGACTCCCTTCCCACCCCAACCTTATAATTCACCATCTAGAACATCGTACTATTTAAAAAAGCACATATTAGCTTCGAGGAGAATGACAATAAAACAGTACCTGTGTAATACACCAGTTCTTCCCAGCCATGTTTATGCCACGCTGCGTTCCGTATGTCTTCCCTTGTCTGAAGGTCCTTGTAAGCTGAAATAACCAGAGAAAAAACAAGCTGTAAACCAAACAGAATGCCCTACATTCTTTCATGCTCCACTAAGTACTGATCCAGCTGCTCACCCAGCTTTCACAGAGACTGCTTTGGGCAAAGTGAGGGTGAGTTTTAAAGACAGGCAATTGAGAATTCATCTCTGCATATCTCAATACTCTGTACAAACTAGGAGGCGGGAGTGGACACTTGGCACAGTGACTGGGGACGGAGGAGGAGGGGAAGGGCACTGCCTGAGAAGTCACAGGTGTAGTCTGGCCTCTCAGACCCTGAAACCCACGTAGTTCCTGCCTGTCTCTGTGAGGCGGATCCCGGTGACTTCTCACCTTGCTATCGCTCCCTGAAGCCTGGCAGAGTTAAGGGCACTGTCCTGTGTCCGCCACAGCCTGTCAGAGCTTTGCCAAGCACACTCTAGTGCCTGCCTCTGTCTAGCTCCAGACTCCTTCACTGGGCGTCCCCGCTTAGACATGCTGTAACCTGACCTATCACGCCTCCCTGTGCGGCTCAGCACGGAGCGCGTCCAGCAGGATGTGCAGGAGCCCCTCCCGGAGGAAGAGAGTGAAGAGGCCGGACTTTTCAGCTTAATCCTCCGGACAGACCATTCACTATCTAAAACATGAAAACTACTCCACCCCATCTCAAACCAATGAAGGTTAGATTTCTATCATCTTAAAAGGCAGGGACACAGAACACATTTCTTAAAGATCTGTTTCCAAACCTACTACATTTGAAAAACGCTTATGAGGTCAAATTTCAGCTAGCAAAAACCCGAGGACTCTGCTGCCCCTGAGGTTCCATGGAGGTGCGGGCATTTGTGGCACGTCATTTGGTGCGGGGTTTCCAATCTCCCAAAGGCCCGGGCAGCCGCGCGCGCGCGCTGAGGAGCTCCTGGTGAAGCAGTGATTGTGGGGGAGCGAGGGGTCTCCTCTCCAGGCCCTGCCTGCAGGGTGCTTGAGGAACACAATGTAAGAACTTCTCTTCTACCTCAGCTTACCCATCACACCTAGGCCCCTGGAGATACTCTACCATTCAGCCAGTCTGAACTGTTTGTAGTTTTCTGAGCCCTTTTCCTAATTTCTCATGTCTCCATCGCTGTTCTAGCCTTTCCTGCCCACGGTTACCTGCCAATCCCATCTAGATCATAAGTTCAGCCACTATTCCACCTTCCATTAATGTTCGCCCTGTGCTATGATCGCACGCTGCCTCGGGGATGTCATTCCCGTTTGCTTTATCCCTCATCAATTTATTTAGTAATACACTGTGAAGTCTCAGCGAGGTCACCACACCTCTGTAACCCAGCATGCCAGCCCGGCAGGCAGACGGGGTGTGGCACCTGGTGGGACCAAACAGGTCAAACTCACCCCTCGTTAACTGATATGGTCTGGAAATCAGTTAGGCTTCTCATTCCTTTGAACTTTAATAACCGTTTACAAATATGCCCAGGATGTTCCTGGTCCAGCAGGGAGACAGGCACCAATAGCCACAGCGGTGACACCTGGGGCCCGGAGAGTGACGTGCACTGGGGGTGGGAGTGGGGGAGGAGGTCACTGAGTCAGGCTTGAAAGATACCAAAGAAGGAGAAGGCCAGAGGAGAACAAGACCCGGCGGCAGTGAGCTTGGGCAGGGAGCTGTCTCGCCAGGTAAGATGCAGGCCTAACTGAGGCAGCAAGGAGAGGGGGCCGGGTCCAGAAAGGATGGGAGGGACCATGCCAGGAAGGGCACTCAGTAGCTTTACCGTCTTGCTTCTGCCATGGTTGCTGACCTCACCTCTGATTCCTTTCACCACTATCCCCTCTCGGTGACCAGTTTACCAGAAGTCTATGGATACGTATGCTGTTGACCTCTCATTCCAGACAGCCCAGAACTTGGCTTCCATTGTGACATTTGCTTTTGTTAGTTTCCGATTACTGACTTGAGATACCCTTTACTGCCCGGTACAATTTGTTTAGTAATACACTGTGAAGTCCCAGTAACAAAAAATGAAGGAATAAAACAACGAATACCCCAAAGATGATGCACCATGTATAACTGCCCAATCTGGGAGAAGAATCCTCCAACAGCTTCATCACCGTCCTGTCTGAAGCGGATTGCACGAGCCCTGCGCGAAAACACACACTGGTGTTCAGACACTGAGTTGGGGATGGGCACGAGAATCAGTCAATTTCCTCCATACCCGGAACAAGTTTTTCAGAATAAGACTAATTGTTGTTGTTGTTTTTAATTACCAGATGCAATCAAAAGATACTTTAATGTAATATATGTAACACGTTAAACGTACCTTTTTATAGCTACATTAGCCATTTTTGTGGGTAGACAATTAGTGACTATTAAAAACATGAGGATATGTGGTTGCACTGTTGATTCTTCACATAAAGTCAAGAAAGGTGGCAGATGACAGGACCAGGGAACTTAAGAACTGCTTCTTCCAGAACTCGCTGAAAGTGAGGGAAACCTAGATACGCATACATCCGAGACGCCACGGGGAGAACGGGTTTGAGCTGAAGGAAGCACACCTCCACAGCAGCTGGAGACAGTGAGCGGAGGAGCGCGGGAGCCTCTCAACTAGAAAGGCGGTTTGCAACCTCTCGGAGGCACACAGGACCATGAGGGTGGAACTTCTTGGCCAGACAGCATCACGATCGACACTGAAGCTTCCGATTGGTTTTTCTTCTTACCAGAGCAAACCATGAGGAAAATGAGTATTAAACGGCATTCACTGTGTCGTGTGTGTGGAGGAAAGTATGGACATATGTTGTCTCTATCCGTATAACATGAAATGGTGATTAAATTGGTTGACAATTGGCATGTCTTCAACTTTCCTTAAGACTTCCTTAATGCAGAAGGTATCAGCTCTTCAAACACCTGTTCCAGGTACTTTATTTTTATATTTAGTGATGCATTTAAAATCATAGAAATATTTTTTAAATGTATATATTTTTCCAAAAGCAGTTTTCTAGAATTAAAGCTGAAAATTTTTCTATTAACACTGCCCATGCTTCCCATCGAGGTCCCAGAGTTGGTAGGACTTGGGAAGATGGGTTTATTCTAACTCACTGTGTAGAGTGAGAGACATATGAGCAAGCATACCAACCTACTAATAAGTACAGGGACGATTTTCAGTTGAATTGATTAGAGAACTCCCTTCCTGGAGGCAAAATTTAGCAACTGAATCAGAACATCTCCAAAGGGTGAGGGTGGGGGATCGGAGCAAGGGTGACTGTGGCGGAGGGAGGAAGCCAGGCGCCGAAGATCACTTCGCGATCCTCCGCTCTCGCCCACGTGACCCACACTCCCAGGTTCTTCTCTGGTGAAGGAGGATCTCTTGCTATTGTCCCCATGGGTTACCCCCAAATGATATTAAATTCTTTAACTTTTGCATTTAGAATTAATTGATCAATGTCTTCACAAAAATTACAAATCTGATTGGCAAATTATTGAGATTAAGCAAATCACATTAACGTGCATTTTATCTCAGAAGGGAAAAATGCTCCTTCATTGCCAGTGATAAATATTCAGGATTTTTCATTTCATTCTGAATTTTTCCAGCTCAGTTACAGTGGGCAAAGAAGATATACTTGCCTTAGCCTGGTCATAATCAGAAGCATGTAGTCAAGAGGAGATCACCAGCTTAAAATAGTTACCTATGTGCCAAAATATAAATTGAACGCTGAACTGGTTTTATAAGTAGTTTTCAAAATAACTGAAGAATAATAACCTCAGTTCTTCCTCATGGGTTCCTTGGTGGGCAAGTCTTAATTATTAAAAAAACAAAACCACCCCAGAACGATTCGACTCTATGGACAACTAAATTGTTACATGAACAGGCTCCTCTCCCCCCTCAAAAAACCTTAATAAAATGGTGCCTGTGACAGTACATGAGGGAAACTGAGTTTGCCATCCTAAAATACTTCTGGGACATCACTTCAAACTGGCTATTTTTAGGAAATGGAAGACTTCCCCAAACGGCCTAAGAGAATACAGACAGAGGACATGCTATGGGAAGGGGCCGTTAGCACACATAAGGACAGTGTAAGGTGGGCATTGCCACAGACAGGGAGCAAGGCCTGTTTGGTCAAAGTCCTCTTTGAGTCTCACTGCTAAAGGTAACCCAGCAGGCATTTTTTTTTTAAGCAAATGTTTGCTTTTTCATCTCCATGTGATTGCCTTGCTGTCTTTGAAGTCCCCAAGCACAACTCTCTCCTTCTCCTTGGCTCAGCTGGCACAGAAGCCTTACCTGCCAGGTATGTCCTAGGGCCTCAGGTTCTTATTGGAACATACATAATAAGCTGGGTCATTTTCTCCTATCAGTCTGTCTTATGTTAATTCGATTATTAGTTCAGCCAGGATTTAAAAGGGTAGGAGGAAAATGGTTTTTTCCTCCCCCATATATCCAATGAAATATGTATTTCTTAGTTTTCAAATTAAAAGAAATTCTAACTTAGCATTCTTTAACCTTTGGTGACCTCAGAAGAAAAGACTCATTAGAAATAAAGATCACAGAACCATTTTTTTGGAGCTAGAAGAGTTCTTAAAAATTACCTAGTTCAATGCAAGGAATTTTGTAACAGAAGAACAAAGAGCACTTGTAAGTTGAAAATAAATAAAAGTCACAGGTTCTCCTTTAAGGATAAAAATAAACCAAGTGCCAGTAGCTGACCAATGGCCAATAATCTTCTCTTGCATCCCTCTTAATTACTGAGGCTTTATATTATTACTAGAGGCGCCCTGGGGGGTGAGGGGGTAGGGGAGATGTTTCTCACCACAGCTTCCACCCTCTCACAAATCCAGGACTCCTCGGGAAGGGTCCCTAGGCCTGGCCTAAGATCAGGGCTTTCCTTCCCTGGGCTGCAGGCAGCTGGCCCCACCCCCACCACTGCCACTGCTTGCCATCGTGCAGTGCTGGCCGCCACCCCCCCCCCGCCCCCCCGCCACCAGTGCCCTCCCTCTGCAGGCGACAGGCTGGGGTGCAATGGCCTGGCTGGCTTGGGTCTCCCTCTTTCTTTGCTGAGGACTGGGGCCATTTACCTACCTGATTGCCCCTAACTGCAGGTCTGCTTACCTGATCACTCTTTACCACTCTGCCTGCCTGCCTGATTGCCCCTATCCCCTTGCTTGGGTGCAGGGCCAGCATTGATTTTCGGTTACTGGTCGTTATGACCCAGGGTTTTTATAGATTAGGATACTAAAGGCCTGGTGCATGAATTGGTGCACTGGTGTAGTCCCTTGGCCTGACCTGCACCCTCTAGCAATCCAGGACCCCTTGGGGGATGTCAGACTGCTGGTTTTGGCCTGGTCCCCACAGGCCAGGCTGAGGGACCCAATTGGTGCATGAATCCATGCACCGGGCCTCTAGTATGCATATAAAATCTTTGGTTAATCTCTTCCTGCCCTCTCCCCTCCTTCTTCCCTTTGAGATTCATGAGTCTGTTCCATGTTCCCATGCCTGTGCATCGAGCGCCTGCCCCCTGGTGGTCAGTGCACATCATGGCTACCGGTTGGATGGTCACTTAGGCTTTTATATATATAGATATTTGGCTTGGCTTTTCTCTTATTAAAACAGTCAGAATTTCCAAATACAACATACATTACTAGAGGCCTGACGCACAAAATTTGTGCAAGAGGCTTGGCCCTTGCAGCTACTGCGGCTTGCCTTGGCCCTCACAGCCTTGGTTTTGTCTGGAAGGTTGTTTGGCTGTCTGATCTAATTAGCATATTATGCTTTTATTATACAAGTAGAGGCCCAATGTACAAAATTTGTGCAAGAGTAGGCCTTCCTTCCCCAGGCTGCTGGCACTTGGAGCCCAGGCTTTGCTCCGGCTGCCGGCAGGCACCAGGGACCCGGCTTCCCTCCAGCTCTGGCTTTGTCTGGAAGGACATCCGGTCTAATTAGCATATTACTTTTTTGTTACTATAGATTACTATAGATCATAATGGTGAAAGTTGGTAGTATTTTGTTTTAATGGTAATGAGTATGCTTCTTGAGTTTCACCATTAAGTTTAAAGTAGCTGTTAAAATGGAGAGATAGTTTTATCATTTAAATCAGGGCCAGCAAACTACAGACCATGAGCTAAATCCCACCCTATGCAACTTGTTTTTATGGCCCAGGAACTAGGAATGGTTTTCACATTTTAAAGTGCTTGAAAAAAATAAAATAAAATAATTATTTCATGACACATGAAATTAGGAGATTCAAATTTCAGCAACCATAAATAAAGTTCGTTGGAACACAGTCACATTATTCATTTACAAACTGCCCAAGGTTGCTTTCGCATTACAACAGCAGAGCTAAGGAGTGGTGACTGACACAGCAAGGTCCACAAAGCCTATCATGTTTACTATCTGGTGCTTTACGGACAAGTTTGTGTCAAACCTGATTTAAGTCAAATGTTCTTTATTCCTAATTTTAGTGCTTTTAAAATTAGGAATTAGTATCTCTAATAAAATGTGAATTTTACCAAATGACTTCTGAATATGAATTAAGATGATTTCAAATTGTCTTTCTTTTCTCATGAAATACTAGAGGTCCGGTGCATGAAATTCCTGAACTGGGTGGGGGAGGGCAGCTCAGCCCAGCCTGCGCCCTCTCGCAGTCTGGGAGCCCTCAGGGGAAGTCCAACTGATGGCTTAGCGCTGCCTCAGAGGCGGGAGAGGCTCCAACTGTGAGCCCGGCTCCTGGCTAAGCAGTGCTCCCCCTGTTGAAGTGCACTGACCACTAGGGGCAGCTCCTTTATTGAGCACCTGCCCCCTGGTGGTCAGTGTGTGTCATAGCGACTGGTTATTCTGCCCTTAAATCAATCTGGATATTAATATTTTATTATATAGGATTTGAACCATTCTAGTCACCTAGATTTTTAAATCAAGAAAACTTTACATTTTGCCGAGACCGGTTTGGCTCAATGGATAGAGCATCAGCTTGGGGACTGAAGGGTCCCGGGTTTGATTCCGGTCAAGGGCATGTACCTTGGTTGCGGGCATATCCCCAGTGGGGGGTGTACAAGAGGCAGCTGATTGATGACTCTCTCATCGATGTTTCTAACGCTCTGGCTCTCTCCCTTCCTCTCTGTTCAAAATCAATAAAATATATTAAAAAAAAGAAAGAAAGAAAACTTTACATTTTATTGTATTTGCTTCAGCTCTTTACGTATTGTAGCTTCCTTTTATTCCTCCTCATTGCCAACCCCGTCTTCCTCCCCCATCAGTCACTACTCTTTGGAAGTAGTTCTCTCTCTTGAATATGAGTCTTCTTGTCCATGGTTTTATATTTCTCTTTATATGTATGTATCTATGAACAATAGTTATATATTTTTATAATAGTTCTTGTTAGATATCTTGTTTATATAATTTTTTTGTTATATCTTTTTAAAATTTACATGAAATACATCATGTTGTACATATTCTTAACTCTCTCCTCAATGTGGTGTTTCCAAGATGGCTCTGTTAACAGGTACAGATCAGGTTTACTTTAACCACTATATGAAAATTCTACTGCACGCATATACTACAATCTTTCCAACAAGGCATAGAACTTCTCTACAATATGACAACTGCAATAGACTTTCTTTTCTTATGTGACCACTAGTTTCTCCCATCCATTCAACACTTACTGACCACTCAGGATGTGCCAGGCCTTGCAGACAGCTGTAGAAGTGGAAACTGAAGCACTGCTGGGGTGTGATAAATGCTCTAACAGAGGCATGGAAGCATGTGTTGGGGGTGCAGAGGCCAGAGCATGTTTGGGCATCTAATTCCAGCCTCACTGTATGTGAAACATTAATCAGTTTCCTCACTTTGAGTCATCCTTGGATTCGTGTATAAATTTTTTTTTAGTGAGGTATGTCATTAGTAGCTTTATTAAGGTATATTTTACATACATAAAGTTCACATAAGTGTACAATCCATGATTTTTAAAATATATATATATTTTTATTGATTTCAGAGAGAGAGATAGAAACATTAATAATGAGAGAGAATCATAGATTAGCTGTCTCTTGTCCACCCCTTACTGGGGATCAAGCCCGCAACCCAGGTATGTGCCCTTGACTGGAATCGAACCTGGGACCCTTCAGTTCGCAGGCTGACACTATCCACTGAGCCAAACCAACTAGGGACCAACCCATGTTTTTAAAGTACATTTACAGCCATCATTACAACCCAATTGTCCAAAAAGATCCCTCGTGCCCCTCTCCAATCAAGACTGACCATGTGTTGATAATTATTGAAGCTAAGTAATGGGTATGAAAGGAGGGGAATCCATGATATTATTCTCTCTAGTTTTGTATATGTTTGAAAATTTTCATAATAAAAATGTCCAACAACACAACAGTCTAGTATCAATCACAGCATTATCCCCAGAATTTATCTCTAGAATTAACATGATGGCCTAATATAATCTTTTTTTTTTCCTTCAGAGAAGTAAAATTTTATTAAATTATTATTTGTGTACATATTTTAACATTGCCCCCCCCCCCCCCCATACAGACCCTCCCTCCCCAGAGTTCTAATATAATCTATTACTAAGACTTACAAACTTGCCATTTGGTAATATACTCACCAGTAATTGCCCCATTCAATCATAGTTCCTGGCTGAAAAGAGATTTGAATTTTGGTTTGTTAGTCCTCTTATGAAGAAATATAGAATAAAAGCATAATATAACAAATGAGAAAACTAACTTAAAAATTAATTTTTAATAATGTGAGATGTAACAATTAAAAAATGCAACAAAATATTATTATTCACAGTGTTCATACTTATCCTTTAGTGGAAATAATAGCCTATGGCTTCATATAAGACGACAACATACTGGGTAGGGCAAAAGTAGGTTTACAGTTGTTTGTATGGGAAATAATACAGTAATAAAACATAATAACACAAGAATAAACTGTTTCACCTACAACTTTAAACCTACTGTAAGTCACTCAGTTATGGCTGCTATCAAAATCATGCTTAGACGCATCCTCCAGATGTACCTAATTATTAAACACATTCATTCAGACTTTATTGTGAACATTTAAAAAAATTCTATTTAAGTAAACTTAATAAAGACATCATGTTATTTTTCCCAGTATAATGGTGAGTGTTAGACTACCAACATCTACTGACATATATTCCTTTGAACAATTTTGCTATCTGGGCTTTCTTGCTAGTAGTCATTTAGTGGGCAAACATCTAGAAAGTCTTACAAGATATTATTTATTCCCTTTTAATCTTATAATTTTTAATCTAATAAATAAATGAATCAATTTATTCAACAGTCACACATTTATTAGTTGCTCTAGCTCAATTACATTAGATGCTAAATAATGTACCTACTGCTGCATTTTAGGTCTTTCCTCACAAAAATAGAAATGCTATATGTCAAATAATAAATATTATGTATAAGATTATAAAAGAAAAAAGAGCTTAGCAGAAGAGGAGGAATGAGAAATTACGAAGATTTAAAAAAAAAAAAGAGGACTAGATAGGGGTGAAAACAAGCCAAAATATAATGCCAAACAAATGACAGAATGTACACTCAACTATTTATCAGCATTATGGGTACTCATGAGGAACAGTTAACTCAGTACTTACTCGAAGTTGGTAAGATCTGAGTTCATATATATTAGGTCCTGGCCGTGGAAGAGGCTCATTCCAGAAACTGAATTCTAATAGCAGTTGATTCTTCCTAGAAAGAAGCATGTTGCTTCTTGCCTTCCGGAATTGCAAAAATTCCTTTGAGTGAAAAAAAGTGTTCATGAAATCATCTAACATTTATACATAAGCCTGCTTTAGTAATATTTGCATTCTTCCTATAATATTGTAGAATACTATTACAAATAGGGTCCCAGTGTCCTGAGACAGTCCCAGTTTACATCTTTTTTTATTTTTATTTTTTGGTTAATACTCGCCCGAGGATATTTTCCCATGGATCTTTTAGTGTTTCCCAAAGTGTGGTATGCGTACCCCCAGGGGTACGGGAAGAGTTTGGTGGGGGTACGCGTTGCACCGGAGTTTGGTGGGGATATGCACTGCACCGTGCTTAGCTGCGCCTAATTCTACGTTCTCATGAGTACGAGGGGTACTCAGCGTTACGAAAATTATAGAAGGGGTACACATATGTCAAAAGTTTGGGAAACACTGTTTTAGAGAATGGAAGAGAGAGGGAAAGTCAGAGAGAAACATTGATGTGAGAGAAACATATCCATTATTTGCATCTCCTGACCAGAGCTCAGGCCAGGAAGGATTCCGTGACTGGAATCGAACCCAGGACCCTTTGGTCTGTAGGCCAAAGCTCTATCCACTGATAAACTGGCAAGGGCCCAGTTTACATCTTATCAAATCAGCCCAATGACTATTACCATTCCCTTTCACTCTCAAGTGTCCAGATTTAAAAGGCGAAAGATTTATGCGATCTGAAGAGAAACCAGAGTATTCAAGTGTCCAGATTTAGATGAAAAGCTACATGGCCGTCCTAATTATTATTATTATTTTTAAATATATTTTATTGATTAAAAAAAATTTTTTTTTTATACAGAGTGGAAGAGAGAGGGATAGAGAGTTAGAAACATCAATGAGAGAGAATCATCGATCAGCTGCCTCCTGCACACTCCCAATTGGGGATTTGCCCGCAACCAAGGTACATGCCCTTGACCGGAATCGAACCAGGGACCTTTCAGTCCGCAGGCCGACGCTCTATCCATTGAGCCAAATCGGTTTCGGCCATCCTAATTATTTAAATGACAATATAAACAAATTAAATTTCTACTTTTTAGGTTCTCCTCACAGGGTGTGACAGTGTAATAACAACAGCGACGTGAAGACTACAAACCATCAAAGAACTGGGAGTATTTGAGATCTTGCTTCGAGGCAAGTTTGGCTCATAAATTCACAAAAATTCAAAAAACCAAACCAAAACAAAACAACAATCAAAGAATCCAAAAGCCATTTATATTTGGACTGGGAAGCTATACAAACGGTTTTCTTTCCTGCACATCTGGTGTGGCTCAGTGGTTGAGCATTGTCCCATGCACCAAGAGGTTGCTGGATTGATTCCCAATAAAGGCACATGCCCACGTTTCAGGCTTAATCCTTAGTAGGGGGGAGTGCAGGAGGCAGCCAATTGGTGTTTCTACCTCTCCCTTCCTCTCGCTCTAAAATCAATAAAAAAATATGTTTTTTAAAATGGGGTTCTTTCCTGATAATGTCTGGCTGTTAAGAGTCTCTCCACTAACATGCACCATTAGGGAGGGAGAGGATAGCAAAATCAGCCCAAGGTAAAGAATACGGGGCTAGCGTGCTGACTTACTGATTTCAAAGAACCAGCTTATCAGTTTCTAAGGACAACTGACTTTTAGAATGAGAATGTTATTTTAGCCCTGGCTGGTGTGGCTCGGCTGGTGTGGCTCAGCTTGTAGGAATGGCATCCTGTACACTTTTTAAAGGTTCTGGGTTCAATTCCTGGTCAGGGCACATACCTAGGTGTGGAATCAATCCCCAGCCTGGTTTGGGCATATATGGGAGGAAACCATTCAATGTTTCTCTCTCATATCAATGTCTGTCCTATGAACAGACATTGTCGACCTATGAACCAGGAGGTCAGAGTTCAATTCCCAGGTTGTGGGCTCGATCCCCAGTGTGGGGCGTGCAGGAGGCAGCTGACCAATGATTCTCTCTCATCATTGATATTTCTATCTTTCCCTCCCTTTCCCTTTCTCTCTGAAAGCAGTAAGATTATATTTTTTAAAACTATCTTCAGGCCCTCGCTGGTTAGGCTCAGTGGACTCAGGGGACCCGGGTTTGATTCCAGTCAGGGGCCCATGTCCGGGTTTCGGGCTCAATCCCCAGAGGGGGGCGTGCAGGAGGCAGCCAATCAATGATTCTCTTTCATCATTGATGCTTCTATCTCTCTCTCCCTCTCCCTTCCCCTTCCTCTCTGAAATCAATAAAAATATATTTAAAAACCAAACCAACAAAAACAAAACAAAACTGTGCTTGGGTGAGAATAAAAAAAAAAGAACTGCTATTTTAATAGTATTATAACTGGATACTTTATGTTTGCATTCATCTTCATAGAGTCAAAATAATCAAATTTTTACTATAAAAAACTATTTACTAATGGTAAAAAAACAAACAGAAGACAAAGAGTCATTTAATTCTGTACTAACAACACTATATCATTAGTATGAGATGTAAACATTTTTCAGAATCATTACCTGATTTTCTCTGAGTTTACTCATGACCTCGGTGAGGGCGGGATAGCCTCCTTCGTACCTCCAGAGGTGGACTGGAACATATTTTAAAAGATAGCATACATTTAGAGTTTCATGATACTCTTACCTTGAAAATATTCTAGGTGTGTGTATAATATTAACACAGCACAAAAGTAAAACGTGCCATGTGTTGCCTATGAGTTACAATATAAAGTTATAATAACAGATTCAAATATTAAAACAACAGAAAAGTTTTTGCAAAGAATTACTGGAGAAATGACTTCAACCATAAAACCAGACTGAGACTTGGAAAGCTTTGATTATAACAACAAGCATGAAATTAAATATTATAAAGGCTTAAGGAACAAGTGTTTATTCCAAAGACTTCTGCTTCCTACCAGCTTGATCCTGCTCGCCATACCACGTGTTCCAAGTCCCCACCAAAGTACAAGGGTAATGTTTATCTTCATGAATCTTTGGCAACACCTCTTGACTTAAAGAGAAGAGATAGCAACACTAATTAAACAACCAACAAAATTATACCAGGTGAACAACACATGATCAGTAACAGGAAAGAGGTCACCTATTCCATTTTCTGATAATTGACCTCAGAATATGTTTATGATAAAACAACATGCAAAATTAACCTCTTAGCTGAATTCTGTTCTACTCTGATACCCCACTTATCACAAGCTTAGGTTTCTGATACCCCCAACCTGAGTATAGTGATAAAAATAATAAAGAACCAAAGGTTCCAAGATTCTAGGAGCTATGAATGCCACTCCAGAAAGAAGTCCTGAAGCATGGTGATGTTTATAAAAGCCAAGTGTTGCTGGATTCAAAGACAGGAAGAATGAGGGAAATGGAAATAGTAGGAAAAGAACACGGAAAAATAAGAAAGGGAAGAAAGCAATGCTTAAGACGGGGAGACAGCACATTCAGGCTGTGGTAAGGGGACAGAGGAAAGTTGGCTGCAAGTAAGAAGGAAGACAGAGCTAGAATACAACACAACTTCGATTGTTCCAAAGGACATTTCGTGACAGTAGAATCCAAATGAAAAATACAAAAGAAAGCAATGATTAGGTTCTATTCAATGCAACCAACAGAGGGGATCTGAGCGTAGCACGTAATCCCACACCAGACACACCACCATTCCATTTCCACTGACTGTAGGGAGCAGAGGCAAGCCATGCCAGGTCATGGCAATGTATTACTTGAACAGAGGTATCAAGCTTGGTTCTTTAGAAACCTTCCTAGAGTGCAGATTCTAATTTACAGGGAAAGGCAAAGGAGAGAGACATAACTATGCCATGCCAAGAGAAAAGCTAAGCCTATCTTTTTTTAATAGAAAAATTATGATAAAAAAGTATAATACAGATTCAACAATGGATACAAAAAAGATTATCAAGAATCAGAAATGGAACCAGTTCAAATTATTTGCTGACCCTGAGTGATTAAACTAATAGGCACCAGTAGAGCTGGGGCACCAGGAGAGGGTGTATATTAACAGTCAACAGAGAAAAGGTTAGAACGGTCTATGTCTAACTGAACACCCATAAAAGTAAATGCCACCCTCCTAAAAATACACATGGGGTGGTAACTGTACTGGCTCATATAGACGTATGCTCAGAACCCAGAGGAGATGAATGGAAATCAGGGTGAGACTGTTAGGGAAAAGGGCTTCCTTTCTGCGGTAGGACATGAGCAGGAAGTAAACAACCCTGACCTGGAGCCATGTAGGAGGAAGCCTGTACAAATGACCAGGTGGGTCCAGGAAGGGGACTGCCAGGGAGCACAACTTTTCCACCAATACAGTCACACATGGGTTTGCAGCCATCCCTCTGTGATGGAAGCCCAAACCTGCTTTTGGAAGCCCTGGCCTTACCTGGAGGTTGTAAGCTAGGTAATACCTAGACCCAGAACTGGATGGTTGGAAAGAACCTCATTGTTGGGGCCCCAACAAACCAGGCAGGAGTTAAGTCTCTAAGCACTGAAAACAAGGAGCTGCTGGAGTTTCAGTGAAAGGAGAAAATCAAGAAGGGGGAGGAGAAAACAGAACTCAAGAAGATCAAGCTGACAAAGTTTTGCACAATAAATTATAGGTTGAGGTGGAAGCATAGTTACAGCTATGAGTCCAGGAAGGAGTGAGAAAGGAGGTGCTTGGAAATGGGGCTCAACAGGCTGGGAAAGGGAGATGGAGATGGAGAAAAGCAAAGAGAACTGAAATCCATGTCAAATGAGGAATACACAGCCTTTAGTAACTAACGAATCCACGACCTAAGGAAAGAGTTAAATAAAACCAGGATGATTAACACACAGGGATGTTGAAAGAGCAAGGTGGTTCTATCTGTTGAGATTGAAGGAAGAGCAAGACAGCCAAACAGAAATATAAATAGACAGAAACCTGAGACAGGAGATGAATAAAAACAGGACAGGAAAGCTTACTCAAGAAAACATCAGCATAGAGAAATAATTTCATTTTATGAGAAAAGATTTAGAAATAAGTACCTGCTTTTTTTTAGGGCATTTTTTTTAACAAAGAAAATTGTGCTGCAGTGAGAAATTCTTTACTAATGTTATTTCACAAACCACATCCAAAAGTAAAACAACAGGTTTTTACTTCTGAAAATTTTGCTGATTCTGGTGACAGAATCATTCTTTCCTTATGAAAGTAGCAGATTTTAAAGGTAAAGAAAAAAAAAGCTTTTAAATTATATTTGTTCATTAAAATACTACTTCTATTAACTTAATTAAGAACTGATACACCTACTTTTCTCTTTAGTCTAAAAGTTTACAAGTTCTGTAAGTACCTCTGGGTCACAAATCATGAGAATCTGCTGAAGGGACTTGAATCCTGGCCAATGGGAGATGTGGGAAGAATGGCAGCTACATGCAAACGGGACAGTTTTACTGTCAAACTGGAAACAAAGGAAGTCACAGGGACACAAGTTCTAACTGCTAACGCTCAAAGCCGCCCAGAGTGGAATGCATGAATGTATGTAGGCACAGGAGGTCAGGAAACATTCTAAGGTTTCTAGCTTATGTCATGATTTCCTGTCTGGGCGCTTAACATCAAAATGCCCTTTGTCATCCCACACAGAGCTCAACTTAAGAAGCCTCTGAGCGTTCAGCTTTAAGAAAATGGAACGAAGACCTCACTCTGCTATCAAATGCTAGTTGAACTTACAAATATTAAAATCATTATTTTCCCCAAGTAAACGATAGTTTGGTATACACACCAAATTTTGTTGTATGCGTCTAGGCATTCCGGTTTAACATTGTGAACTGAAACAAAAGAAAATTCCACGATGAACTTAGGAACAAAGGGAGAAAAGTCAATGGTGAAGATGGCAGACCTGTCACTCACACTGTATTTTGTACAGACTGCTCGTTTCCCTTTTGGCTAGGAGGTTAGAGTGAGCATCTTTCCTTGGATCAACTTTCCGGACAAATAAGGATTTTAACCAGCTGTCTTCTCGAGGTCTGTGACTGGAAGACGTCAACCCCCTATGGAATAATAAATACAAAAATTTGAGTCTCATCAGAGGTAAAAAGATCTGTGTCTGTAGCTAGTGTCACATGACACACTGTTTCCATAAATTCACCATCCATTCAGCAAGCATGCCTTGAGCACTACTCGAGAGCCTGGGATACCACAAAATGCCCGTTTTTCCATTATGTAGTTCTAAACAGCAGGAATACAGTGTAAGGCAGTTACTTGGGGCTCTCCTAACAGGGTTCTCACGCTTATCTTTGCAAGTTCCGCTATGTTGTTTTCCCTCCTGTAAAGCAATTACTGTGTGTGTGTGTGTGTGTGTGTGTGTGTATATATATATATATATATATATATATATATATATATATATATATAATTTATTGATTTCAAAAAGAAAGGGAGAGAGAGACAGAAACTTCATCAACGATGAGAGAAAAATCACTGATCGGCTGCCCCCCGCAATCCACCCCACACTGGGGACTGAGCCTGCAAGCTAGGCATGTGCCCTTGACCAGAATTGAACCTGGGACCCTTTGGTCCGCAAGCCGATGCTCTATCCACTGAGCCAAACCAGCTAGGGCATGTACAACAATTAAAAAATATATATATTTTTATTGTTTTCAGAGAGGGAGAGGGAGAGAAAAAAAAATGACAAGAGAGACTAATTTCATTGATTGCCTGCCTCCTGCACTCTGCAAACTGGGGATGGAGCCTGTAACCTGGGTATGTGCCCTGACTGGGAATCAAACTGGGACCTCCTGGTAAATAGGTTGATACTTCACCACTGAGCCACGCCAGTCAGGAAGGGAGAGGGGAGAGATAGAAACATCAATGATGAGAGAGAATAATTGATCGGCTTCCTCCCACACTGGGGATCGAGCCGCAACCTGGGCCTAAGCTGGCAGGCGGACATCCCCCGAGGGTTCCCAGACTGAGAAAGGGCACAGGCCAGGCTGAGGGACCCTCACCCTCACCAGTGCATGAATGTCTTGCACTGGGGCCTCTAGTAACATTATAGAATTTTCAGTTGCACAAGATTATAATTTGACATTTGTGTTCTTTGTTTGCTCATCACCTCAAAGTCTGGTTTCTTCATCCTCCCTTCGACCCACTGCCCCTCTGGTAATCACCATTCATTCTGTTGTCTGTGTCTGTGACTCTTTTTAAGTGCATACGCCCATACTCTTCCAAATGGAGTTACAAATCTTTGTAATGTCCCTAGAGGGCAGTATGACATTATCTTATCAAAATTAAAACTATGGCCCTGGCTGGTTTGGCTCAGTGGACAGAGCGTCAGCCTGCGGACTGAAAGATCCCGGGTTCGATTCCGGGCAAGGGCACATCCCTGGGTTGCAAATTTGATGCCCAGTGGGGGGCATGCAGGAGGCAGCCGATCAATGATTCTCTCTCACTGATGTTTCTCTCTCCTTCTCCCTTCCACTCTTAAGTCAATAAAAATGTATATATTAAAAAAAATTAAAACTGTGTAGGCCTTTGGCCCAATAATAGGACTTGTAGTTATGTCCTACAGGCAGCTATATTTAGATAAGCACATCAAAATAAATGCACAAAAAGGTTCATTCCTGCTTTGTTTCCAGTGTGTTCCTGCTACTGGCAATTTGGATATTCATTAACAGGGACCGGTCAAATGAATTAGGGAATATCCCAAATCAGAATAGAATGAAATCATTAAAAAGAATGAGCCAGATCTACTTGCACATAACTCTAAGAGAAATTATGTGGAAAAAGCAGGCACTGAACAGTATCATAAATACACAAAGTGAACTGCTAATATGTGACGATGGCAGAAAAAAAATGACTTGCTGCTTTAATGAACAAACATTACAGGCAATTTTTCCCCCATAAGAGATTCTTTTAACTTAAAACTAATTCATAGGACATTATCACAAATAGTTAGAAACCAGATAAAAAGACCTTTGAATAATGTAAGCTTACAAATTCAGAAACTAAAATATATAAATATAAAATTAACAATGTTTTCTATAATGATCAAGAAATATAAAAATATTTTTTCAAATCCTTAAAGATTAAAAAGCTGCAAGCTTATAGTAAACAAGCAAAATAAGTTAATACCAATCATGCAATTTTTCTTACAAGTGCACAGAAGAAAAATGTGTAATCTTAAGTGGCATTTGTAAAAAGACACTTACAATTCTTCTATCTTGCTTTTACCATATGTAAAATTCCAGAGAATTAAGAAAGTGTTAAAACAAACTTTTAAAATAAAAAAGTCAATTATATATAACAACAATTAGCCCTTTAGCGAAACCTAAAACATATGGTATTTGTTTCTGTTTTCAATTCACTGGCTGATTATATAAATAAACTCATTCTAAAGAAAGCGATTCACCAAATGAGTCATATTCAAATTTATTTCAATAAAAATAAAAATGTTTTGTCAATTTGTTTAGTGTTTTAAACACACTACATTTTGGAGTGTTTGCAAAATATCAAGAAGCAAAATGGCAAGATATAAAATTAGTGAGTTACAAAGTAGAACGTTTTAAAGTTTGTTAATGGGACTTTGTATAATTCTTGTTTTTTCTTTATTTTAGATTTTAAGTTCACTAAACAGAAATTATGTTTTTTTTTTAGTCTTGTAAATAAATTGTAAGAACCTAGGAATAACAATTATGAACAATTAAGAAAGGAGTTCAATGAAAGTTTCTAAAATTATCAGCATTAGGAAATTTCCCAAAGTAATTTTTCCCCTCCTCTTTAGAACTTATGGGTATTATCCTATATATTAAAAGGCTAATATGCAAATTGACCAAATGCCAGAAAGACTGATTGCTATGACGCACACTGAGCACCAGAGGCAGATACTCAATGCAGGAGCTGCCCCCTGGTGGTCAGTGCACTCCCCCGGGGGAGCGCCACTCAGCCAGCAGCCAGGCTCACAGCTGGCTGGTGAGCACAGTGGTGGTGGGAGCCTCTCACACCTCCGTGGCATTGTTAAGGATGTCCCTGGCAGGCCTAAGCCGGCAGTCAGACATCCCCAATGGCTCCCAGAACGCAAGAGGGCGCAGACCAGGTTGAGGAACCATCCCACCAACACACACGAGTGCACCGATTTTGTGCACTGGGCCTCTAGTAAGTTAATAAGTACAGTATATACTGGGTGCTAGGCACTGGATTAGGTAGTTTGCCATTTCATTTAGTCCTTAGAACAAATTTTAAAGATTGGCTCAGACAGATTCAATGGCCTGGGCTAAGAAGTGACAAAATAAAAGTATGAACCTAGATCTATAAAGTTCAAAATATTTTTACTAGTAAGGGATACCTCCCAAACACAAATCTCCCCCGCTGAGCATCTGCACCAGATTTTAGTAATACCAAAGGCGATACTTTTACTTTTAAACATATTTTTATTGATTTCAGAGAGGAAGGAGGAGGGAGAGATAGAAATATCAATGATGAGAGAGAATCACCCTGACCGGAATCGAACCGTGACCTCCTGGTTCATAGGCTGACGCTCAAACACTGAGTGTCATTGGCGGGGCCCAAAGGTATATGTTTTAGAATGAGTAAATTGAGGTCAGAGATATGGAAATGTTTTGTAAACTAAAGGTAAGTCTAGAAAAAAGTCAATGTCACAGGACACACCAGAACCTGCGTGGAGTGTGCTTGTGAACTCTGGCAGCAACGGTTTTGACAAATGCAACACAGTCTGCCCAACATTATCCTCAACTGACTGTGAAACTTGGAAATCTTTCGAGTGACAGGTGACCAAAGCTGCCTCATGTGCCTGGGTCACCTAGCTGGCCATGCTGAAACACTGAAGGGGGAGAAGCAGCTGTGCCCACAGCTGTCAGGGTGATAGGATCCAGGCGGGGCTGAGGTTCTTTAATGGCAGTGATAAACATTCCAACCAGTGGTCTTTATAAGATCACATATACAGAGGGTGGGGTGGGGTGGGGTGGGGTGGGCGCAGCACATTTTACCTTACACACATAGCACCCTGAACGCACCTGATCTTGTACGCTAAGCAAGGTCGGGCCTGGGTAGTACTTGGAATAGGAGCACTAGACTTTAAATAGAGTGCGTGTTATGTGCCAGGCTCTGTGGATATGAAGGTGAACCAGATCCTTAGCCTGCTCAGTTTCATGGGAAGAAATTACCAGTAAACAGCCAGAGTAGTCACGGATATACAGACTTACACATACACACGGTGGGAGCTCAAGGCCTGTGAGGAGCGAAAGGGACTTTGGGGGAGAGATTCTGGCCCTGTCTTGGAGGACAAGAAGGACAGGTGGACAAGGCAGGCGATAATTCCAGTCAAAGGGAACAACATGTCCAGGGCACAGGGTCATGAAACTGCGTGGCGTATTTGTGGAATAGCGAAGAGTTAAGTAAGGCAGAACAGGATGGTGACTGAGATAACGGGAGGATAAGGGGGGGGTGGCTAGGCTCCTGGATGCCATGCTTGTCTGTCAGCTGGATTCTACCTTGTACATGGTGTAATGCTAGCACGTTTTGGAAAAAAAAAATCCTAGATGTAAAAAGCAGCCTGGGCAGTGAGCTGGCAGGTGGACTACAGCAATAAGGCAAGAAGCATATGGCCGAGAGTTGAGCTAGGGGAGTGGCCATTCTGAAGGCAGAGAGATGTGCTGGAGGTAGAAGGGAGGAGCAGGATGGGCTGGGCTGGGGGAAGGCCTTCTGGTTTCTGGCAGATGTCCCATTACTGGGGGGAGAGAACCTAGGAGAAGCAAGCAGGCTCTGTAGGAAGAGGAGTTTGATTCTGGGTGCGTAAGCATCTCAAGCACCTGTGGAGCACTAGTGCATGTCCACTGAGTAGCTGGAACCCTGGGCCTGGCCCTGAGCACACTAAGAGGTGCTGGCCGGTAAGTGTCCCAGGAAGACTTCCTTCTTCCCCTCTGAAGCCGCTCTACAAGGTCAGCCACCATGCACTGCTGGCAAATCCAGTTTTCTTCTGTCAGCTTACCCTGTGAGCAGCATCTGGCACAGGAGACCATTCTTCCCTGAAATACCCCCTCTGGGCACTGTCACATAGCAATGGCCTCGCTGGCTGGCTGCTCCCTCTGTCCCCTTGCCCGCCTCTTCTTCCTCTAGCCAGCCTGTAATTCCCAGGCTGTTTCTCAGCCCTTTCTCAATCCATAATCTCTCAAAGTAGTATCACTCACTCCTATGGCTTAAAATTGTCACAAAAATTTTCAAATACAAAACAGTACGCTGAAATCCGTGTATCTATCAACATTTAACATTCCTAAATGCTGACAACTCCCCGATGTTTTCTGTAGCCCAGACATCTCCTCTGAGGAGTCAGAGAAGTTAGTCATATAGGTTTAGGCCAACTGCCTGACTACTTGGCCTTCCCATCTGAACTCCAGCTGTCTCTCACTGCTCCCCACCCCACACCTGTTCCTCCCTTTCTGAAGGCGGGGACCTCGCGTGCCTTGTTCGCGGTTTACAATAATAGCACCCAGCATATGGTGGGCACCTATAACCAATGGAACAAATAACTCAGCAAACGGCACACGCTCCGCTCAGCTGACCGTCACCCTTGATTCTGCACCCTTTTCATAGACTGGTCTTTCAAATCTGAGGAGACCCTAGTGAAGTCCAGGCGGCTGGAGCACAGGAGTGAGGGGAAGACTGGCTAGCGGGCAGGTGACAGGGAGCAGGGGCCAGTAATTCCAGGCCTGCAGACCATCTTGGAGAGCTTGGGTTTTATTGCGTGGGAAATATTTGAAGGTATAAATAAATAAATAAATAAATAGGAAGGGAGCCGAGACCGGTTTGGCTCAATGGATAGAGCGTCGGCTTGGGGACTGAAGGGTCCCGGGTTCGATTCCGGTCAAGGGCATGTACCTTGGTTGCGGGCATATCCCCGGTAGGGGGTGTGCAAGAGGCAGCTGATCGATGACTCTCATTGATGTTTCTAGCTCTCTATCTCTCTCCCTTCCTCTCAGTACAAAATCAATAAAATATATTTTAAAAAAAAATAGGAAGGGAGAGGGAAAGATAGAAACATGGATGAAAAGAAAATCATTGATCGGCTGCCTCTTGCATGCCCCTCACTGGAGATGGAGCTGTGACCTCCCAGTTCATAGGACGATGCTCAACCACCGATCCACACTGGCCAGGCTCAACATCACCTTCTCGAAGAGGCCTCCCATGACCTCAGGTGGTAGGTTCCCCGATCATCTCTCACAGCATCCTCTAAGTCCGGTTGGGTTTTTACCTGGGCCATGGCTTCCTGAGGTCAGTGACTAAGGCTATTATGCTCAGTTCCAATAGGGCTTCAAAGACACCGTATACATTCACTATTGGATAGAATCAGATAACTAATTGGGACTGAGTCCTGAAGAACATCTACAGCTAAGGCAGAGCAGAGCCCAGGGAGTGGTCACAGTACAGGGGACCAGAGAGCCGTCAGGAAGCCAACAGGCTGGACAGAGATAAGGACTCCAGGCTCAAGAGCCGTTGGCCCCAGCAAGAAGTCAGGGTACTGGGCAGACCCAGGTCCCGTTCTCCTGTTTCCCTGCTTTGTGACCTTGGCGCTGTGGGTAAACAAGCTGAGTGAATATCTTCAGCCTCAGCTGGAAGAAAATATGAATTTCACAGGCTCATTTCACCCGTGTGAGAAAAAGCAAGACACGAAGTAGATGCTCAATAACAGAACAAAAGTAAAAGGAGGTTTCCCGGCTGGCATGGCTCAGTGGTTGAGCTTCTACCTATGAACCAGGAGGTCCTGGTACATGTCCGGGTGTGAGCTCGATCCCCAGGAAGCAGCCGGTAGATGACTCTCTCTCATCATTGATGTTTCTATCCCTCTCCCTTCCTCTCGCTCTAAAAAAAAATTAATAAAAACATATTTTCAAAAGAATAAAAGATTGATTAATCAACCTGGAAACATCAAATTTGGAAATACAAGTTGAGCATCAGAAGGGCGCTGGGCCTGAAGCCAGACAAACTTGGGTTCAGGCTTAGAAAATGCCTTTTCTAGGTGTGTCTCACAGCCGTGGAGGCTCCATCTCATCTCTTAAAATGCAGATCCTATGACTTGCTTCTTAAAGATTGCTACCAGGATTTAATGACATAAATCCCCAGCCCGTGGTTAAGAGTTTAACCAACAGGTAGTTTCTTCTTCGCCTTTTCATTTTTAGGTGCCACCTGTGTTTTCTGGAGGCTCGTTATTTAACGAAAAACCAACAAATGAAACGATGCCATTTAAATTATGCAATGTACAGAAAGCGAGAAAGTACACCTACGTGTAAGTTAGTGGAAAAAAAAGGGAAATGAATAATGTCCAAGGGATGGATTCAGAAAACCGGATTTAATCCAACGAGGTTGGAAACAAAGTTAAAACATGAGCCCGATGCCTGATCATTGTAAATACTTTTTTTTACAGCTGATCATTGCAAATACTTTTTGATCCACTACTTTCAATGCAAATCAGATTATTCCCAGTACCGAGACCCCCTCGCTCTCCTCCCCTCGGTGGGCTCCTCGGGACGGTGGTGTGTGTGTGCTCACAGCTGAGCGGTAAGAGTGTCTGACACTGGCAGCTGCAGACCCGAGGCTCCGCAGGGCAGCAGCCTCAGGCCGCCGGCGGGACCCGGCCGGCGCCCGCAGGGCCCGCAGCCTGGGCCGCGCGCCCCCCGTCCGGCTGCCGCGGCGGGTCGCGCCGGATCCAGGCCGCCGGCCGCGCTCGCACCGCGGGCGTACGTGGCCCTGGCGCCGCGCCGTCCCCGCCGTGACCTTGAGCCCGAGGGGAGGGCGCTCTGACCCCAACCAGGCGCCCGCCCACCCCGACCCCGCTGACCTCGGCCTGTGGCCCCGCCGCGCCGGCCGCACGGCCCCGCGGGAGCAGGGAGCGCGGCCAGGCCGGGCGGAGACCCGCGCCGGGACCCCGCGCCCTCCGCCCCTTGGCGGCCCCTCCCCGAAAGGGCGGCGCTGCTCACCGGAGCACGGACCGGAGGCTGCAGGGGGCGGCCCGCTGTAGGAGGCCGCCGGCCGAGGCCGCTCCGCGGGCGTGCAGCACTCGCGCCGCCATGTTGCTCCGGCGCCTCGGCTCCTACCGTTCGGGCCGCCGCCGCTGACGCCGCCGCGGCCGCCTCCGCGACCCCTCCCTCGGCGAGGCCCGCGGCGGCCGGGGCGGGGCGGGGCAGCTGCCGCGCCGGGCACGGCCACCAGGGGGCGCGGGCGCGCGCCGCGGCGACCCGGTGCGCAGTGCGTCCCGGCGCGGGGAAGCCCGGCGGCCACGAGAAAGGAGCCAGGAGCCCGAGAAGAATCACAAATCTCCAGCGAAGGGAGTGCGCAAAGGCCCGCGGGCCAGGCTTGGAAGAAAAGAGTAACGGTGCTGCTGGGGACTCTGGGACCTGGCGGACCAAGGTGGGAGGCAGGCTTCTCCCCGAATATCTTTTAATAAATATACATTGCCTTTTCAACACAAACAAACAAAAATAAACACATGCATGTAGCTTTAACAAAAGCATTCTGGATGGAAACATACTCAAGTTCCCATAGGTTCAGAACTACACTCTTGGGTTCGTTTCAACAGGATTGGGGGCTCTGGCTCCATCCTTGCCCTCAAGCCATCCCAGCCCTGGGGGGGACAGGATGGGAAGTGACTGGGTCAAGTGTGTCAAGTGTTGAAACGGACAGGTTGCCAAAACCGGTTTGGCTCAGTGGATAGAGCGTCAGCCTGTGGACTGAAAGGTCCCAGGTTCGACTCCGGTAAGGGCATGTACCTTGGTTGCGGGCACATTCCAGTGGGGGGTGTGCAGGAAGCAGCTGATCGATGTTTCTAACTATCTCTCTCCCTTTCTCTGTAAAAAAAAAATCAATAAAATAAAAAAATGGACAGGTTCACATGATGCGAAGGGGGCAAGGAAGACAGAGCATGCAATCGGCCGTGGCTGTGAAGTGGAAGAGAGACAGGCACCCAGGAGCTGACACAGCAGGGCAGAGGAAGAGGAGTTGGCCAGTGGAGGGAGGACATTTCCCATCAGCAGAAAAAACTCAAACAAAGGCCTGAGTCAGGATGGCACTGTTTGGGGAGAGTGCATCCTGCTGCAAGATAAAAAGAGCTACACATGTAACCACCAAAACTGCAACTAAGACAATGGGGGCAGAACGGGAGTTGGACAGTGAGAGAAGGGGGGAGAAACAAGGAGCAGCAGAGGCCCACCCATTAAAGGGAACATTTCAAGGGCAGTGTAAGCCTGTAGAGGCCCAGAGGAGCTCGCCCTTAGGACTAGGTAGCTGGGAGGTCTCCACTACCCAGGCAGGTCTCTATAGAAGGGGTGGGGCCGGACATTGGGCTTGGGGACTGAGGGATTCTCTGAAGCTGGCAATATTGGAGGCGAGAAGGAGCACTGGGTCTCAGGTGGTACAGTTTTCTGACTCAGCAATGTCTGAACAACTTCATATGGCAGGAGGCAGCCAGGAGGAGAGGAATAGGTCCTGGGTATGGATGGAGGAGTGGCAACAGGATTTGCCCAGACTGAAGAATGGTAGCAATCACCTCAGGCAGAAACTGCTGTTTCGGTTCTGTACTTATTTTGCTTGCTAAAACAATAGAAAGTTTTGATTTTCTGAACTTACGTATGCCATTCCAATACTCCATTGATGATGGTTTGACTATCCCACTGATTGTGACCTCACTGGTCATCGAAGCACATTCTTCTGGGAACCAGGACAGCTCAATTATCCTAAATTGTCTCAGTAGCTACAGATAACGAGTTTTGGTTGACTCAGTGGTCCCGTAATCTGGACAGCAGGATTATTTTAAATTGCTCAGGTGGTCCCAGATAATGTGTTTCTGTTGATTCAGTGAATCGTGGATACTTTAGATAACTAAGTCGTTCAGTTTTGCTTCTGTAAAAATGCTTTTTGCGAAACAGGTTCCTCATTCCAGACCCAAAGATGTAATTGATATTTTTGTGATGTTCTGCCAATATAAGCCAGATGTGGCAAGCTGTTCGGGTCTGGAGCGCTTTAGCCCCTTGTATGCCGCCGGCCTGTAATAAATGACTCCATAATTCGACTTCTTGAAGCGTCCTTTGTAAGATGGGGCACACTACAACAAGACCAGGGAGATGCTTCTGTCTCTTAAAGGCCAGTGTGAAGGAGGCCAGGGGGCTGGATAGAGCTTGTGCGGCTGAGAGGTCTAGATCCCAACTGGCTTGTGCTCAGTGAGGCTACGGACTGAACAGATCCACAGGAGAGGCTGATGCGCATGATCCCCGGGCAGAAAGGACAGGTCCCAGCCCTGCACAGCGGAAGACAGGGCCTCAATCTTCCTACCTCTGATCTTTCCCCTTCCAGTTTATTCTCTACACTCATGCTATTTCTTGTATTGAAATGTGAATCCAATTATATCATTCTTTTAAAAATGTTAACCTACCACCAGTCAGAGGGTAACTACTGTCTATTTATCTATCTGGCTTCCCCCCTTGTTCAAACGTTCCAGCAGTCCTCCTGGTTATGCTCCTTCTGCTCATGCTGTTCCCTCGGCCTCAGATGCTTTTTCCACACCCTCATCTACTAGCCTGAAGACGCTTCCTTTAACATTCAGTTCGAGCACCATCTCATCGCTTTTGGGAAATTACTCTAATTTCTTCCCACCAGTGTGCCTTGTTTGCCATGAAAAGTCTGGGGTAGGGGGTGGGGGGAAGGGGAAGGGAGTGCCTGTGGTCATTGTTGAAACCCTGTGCTTGTATAATACACATATTAGTTGAGGTTGAAATATGATCCAGATCTCTTCCTAGGAGCCAGAAAACTGAACTTGGCTCTGTTTCCTCAGGTCAAAATTTAAATTATCAAAATTAATGGATAGCAACAAAACTCTGAAACTTTCCAATTCAAGTGCACATGTGAGAAGTACTACAACTTCATCAATGTATCAGGTTTTAAGAACTCCTTCCTATTTAATGCATCCTAGGATACAGTATTAAAAAAAGTAACACAGAACTTAAATCTATCAATGTCTATTTTATTTTAGCCGATTTTCTTTCCTTTAAAAAAAAAATATATATATATATTTTTATCGATTTCAGAGAGGAAGGGAGAGATAGAAACATCAATGATGAGAGAGAATAATCAATTGGCTGCCTCCTGCACACCCCCAACTGGCGATCAAGCCCACAACCTGGGCAGGTGCCCTTGACCATAATGGAACCAGGGACCCTCTAGTCCACAAGCCGACACTCTATCCACAGAGCCAAACCAGCTAGGGCCTTAAAGCATGTTGATTATTTCTGTTTGGAATTGGTTAAATCAGAGAAAAAAATTAATTTTGAATATAGACCATCAAAAACATTACAAATGTGATCTTATCTGTTTACGGTATCAAAAAGGTTTCTTCTCACCAAATAAAGGTTCTAGAATAAATTAAAGATTCCTCTGAATGAAAACACACACACACACACACATACACACATCTAAAACAATGAGTTTAAAAAATAATGCAGTAGACTGTTAAGCACATTTAGTGTAACAGGAAAGCATGTTCACTGAAAAGGAAATTTGCAATATGACCATAAACCTTTTTGGAAAATTATAACCAACACTTTATTCATTTACTTTTAGCTGTTTCATAAGTACTGGAAGAAAAACTGATCAGTTTGTGATGAAACTTAGAATTTCTTTTCCATAAAGCAAAATTATAAACCGTTCCCTCTGGCTCGCTTTTCTAATCCTCCTTCACTGCTGTGAAGAGACACCGTGTTCTTCCCGAGGGCTGGTTAGATGGGTGGCTTCCACACCGATTGGACTCTCCAGGTAGGCAGTCCCTGCACAAGGTTTCCCGGACACCGGATCTATGACTTGTCCGACTTTGAAAACAATTTCAGCCAGCTCATGCTTCACATGTTTTGTTCGTGGAACAGGTAAAGCTTTGAGAAGCACAATGTCCCCAACTGTGCACTGCTGAAGAGCATCATGGGCAAAGTAGGTTTTCCGTTTATTAAAATACTGTTGAGAGAAGGAAAGACAAATGAGCAGTTCCCATCTGTGACTTGGCACTACAGTAGAGAATATGAAAAAGTAATGCACAGAGAAAAAAAGCTTGGGGGTGGGGGGTGAAGATAGCATATTTAAGGTGGTTTCCAAAACAAAAATTAGCTCCTTAGCTTCTGGAAAACAGCAATGACTTCCAGAGATGATCCTGTCCCTAAGCTCTCCAGTGAATTATCTTCAGCACCCTTGCTCTATCCATTACCGTCCTTTTTTTTTTTTTTTTTTTTTTTTTAATATACTTTATTGATTTTTTACAGAGAGGGAGAGGGACACAGAGTTAGAAGCATCGATGAGAGAAAATCATCGATTAGCTGCCTCACGAACACCCCCCACTGGGGATGTGCCTGCAACCAAGGTACATGCCCTTGACTGGAATCGAACACAGGACCTTTCAGTCCACAGGCCAACGCTCTATCCACTGAGTCAAACCGATTTCGGCCATTACTGTCCTTCTTGACGCTACTTAAATTCTTCTCTCCAGTGGCACCTTCTCTCCAGTCCATAATCATGCTACTGTCACCACTAGCAGTGTAATTTAGGACAAATCACTTAACACCAAGCTCGGCTTTTTTCCACCATAAAATGAGGCTCTAATACTTGCACCTCTAAAGATACCAAGAGAATTATAATATACAAAAAGCTCTTAGTTCCATGTCTAGCCCAACGTATTGCAAACAGACTCCTGATAACTAGAATCACCTGTTCCTCAAGGCAGCCCCTCCACAGCAGGCTCAGGGAGGTTAAGGAATGTGCACAGCTCGTAAACTACAGAGTCGATGTTCAAACTAGTCTTCTGAGTGTAAAGTCAATGATCATGCCATCACTTTTCAGCTTACTCCTGTGGTTTTTTTTTATCCCAGAGAACAACTGGCATTTCTACCATCTTGAATGCAGAACATCCTTGACATTTCCCACCCCCTCCCTTACAAAGCAAGGGCTCTGTCCTTTCTGAAATCTACTTTCCCCCACTGCTCCAAAAAATGTTCAGGTCTTTATGGTTTCCATCCTGGACTTTCTCCATAGCCTCCTCACTCATTTCCTGACCTCCAACCCTCATACCTACCCATCTTCAAGTTTGCCTGTCCTTTGCTTAAAGGATGAAATCCAAAATAGAACATAAAAGACTCTTCGCAGTCCGGCTCTGGCTGTTCTTGTAACCATTCAATTGTGCCTATTTAGTGCCAAACTCTGGGCTCACCCTTGCCCAAATACCTGCTGTTCCTGCAGAATGTCTGAAAGAACATCCACAAACTACTATTCAGCATGGCCAGAATGACTTCCCCCAGCCTGGTCCTCTGGATAAAATCCTTTTTGAGATTCATCTCAAATGTCTCCAAGTCGAGGATGTGTTCCTTCAGCAACCTGGGAAAGAAGGCGTCCTGCTTTCTGCGCCCACAGTACATTGCACAAAGAGAGACGACAGTACTCACCAGACTGAACTGGAACGAGCTCTATGTGTCCTTAGCATGTGAGTACACACCATGACCAATTCGCTTTGTTAAACCACAAATCAGCCCAGTACCGGGTATGCATGCAGCAGGCGCTCAATGTATTTTTACTGACAGAGAAGTGTTTTTCTGCTCAGAACACAGGATGTGTCGGTGATTTTATCAATGCCAAAAGAAAGTAGGGGTGTTTCTCACCTTTAATAAATAGGGATCCAGGACAAGCCTGGTTACTCTCACTTTAGCGGTTTTTTGCATGGCTGTCCCAATCACTTTCCCCACGATCCATTTGGCATGGACAGATGAACGAACTATTGACATTTCAGACGGCTTTGGTCACCTGAAAAACAAAATTCAAAGCTTAATGTTGGGGGGGGGAGAGATGGGTTACGACTCACTGAATGCATTTGGTCACAACTGCTCAAGTTCAAAACCAGCTTTTTTTTTTTTTTTTAAATATGTTTTATTGATTTTTTTTTACAGAGAGGAAGGGAGAGGGAGAGAGAGTTACAAATCAACTGCCTCCCGCATACACCCTACTGGGGATGTGCCTACAACCAAGGTACATTCCCTTGACTGGAATCGAATCGAACCTGGGACCCTTGAGTCTGCAGGCCAATGCTCTATCCACTGAGCCAAACCGGCCAGGGCTAAAACCAGCTTTTATTGGCCTTCTGGAATCACCCCTTTAAAGATGCTCACACGATACCCTAGTAGTTCCTCAATTACCCAACCTCCCTTCCATCTGTACAGTTTACAATGCTGCAAACTTAACTCCTTTAAGCCTCAGTTCCCACCTTGGCAAAATGGGAACAACAGGGCCTATTCACAGGAGCGCTCTGAGGAGCTCCAGGCGCATAAACGCCGGCCTGGACTGCTGTCCCTCATTTCTTTCTGTCCCGCGGGCTCCTCGCGGCGCGCAGGGCCCGGTGGAGCGGCAGGGGCGCCCGCGCAGTGAAGGAGACCTCGACTTAGGGTTGCTTTCACTCCGTTAATACTGAGCACAGCCCACTCGGCCTGGGGAAGGCAGGGGGTGGCTGATCCCTCCGCTCCGGGGGACAATCCCGGGATCGGGAGACTCGACTCGTCCCGAGGACTTTCACTCCGGGACCCCATCCCACCCCCTGTCGCTGGGGTGCGTGGCCCGCACTCACCTCCACGCCCCGAAGTCCTAGCGCGCGACCCGCGGAGAGCCTGTCGGACGTGGTTGCGTCACGCCGCACGCAGGTCGCTCCGCCTCGGACCGCCCTCTCATTGGTCACAGATCTGAGTTCTGGGCGGGGCTAAAGGGAGGACTCCGCCCACCCCCTCACATGCCTTAAAGGAGCCGTGGACGGAGAGTCCCTGAGAGTGTGGGCGGCTCTTTCCTATTCAGTTTGGTTTCCTCTTCTTCCATTGAGTTCCCTCCCAAGCGTTGGACAAAGCCTTCCAAATCAAAGCAACTTCATTGATTCATCAAATACTGAAACATGAGATGCTGCTAAATGCTGAGACTTAAGAATTTCTGTCCCCACAACTGTTTTTAAGATAAATTTTAAAAATATATATTTTATTGATTTTTTTACAGAGAGGAAGAGAGAGGGATAGAGAGTCAGAAACATCCATCAGCTGCCTCCTGCACACCCCCCACTGGAGATGTGCCCACAACCAAGATACATGCCCCCAATCGGAATCGAACCTGGAACCTTTCAGTCCGCAGGCCGACGCTCTATTCACTGAGCCAAACCGGTCTCAGCTTAAGATAAATTTTTGTCTTTTTTTTTTTTTTTTTTTTAAAGATTTTAGGTGTTACTTCTCAATATATGAGAGATGGGTAGAAGTTCGGTGTGGGTGCGTATATACTTGCACATTTTATTTAAATATTTTTATTGATTTTAGAGGAAAGGAGAGGGAGGGAGAGAAACATCAATGATGAGAATCAACGATAGGCTGCCTCCAGCACGCCCCCCACTGGGGATCAGGCCCCACAACCCAGGCATGTGCCCCCCCCCCGTGCCCCCCCCGTGCCCCCCCCCGTGCCCCCCCCCCCCCCCCCCCCCCCCCCCCCCCCCGGCGGCCAGAATCAAACCTGGAATCCTTTACTCCACAGGCAGGCACTCTATCAGCCCAGTACCGGGTATGCAGCAGCCAAACCTATCCATTGAGCCAAACCATCCAGGGCTACTTGCACATTTTAAAGGGGTTAGATGGGCCACGAGCATGCTATGTGATGAAGCCTTTTCAGACAGAGGGAAATCTGGAAATGTATTAGGCTCCTGTTCGGGAATTAATAAGAGGAACAGAAAACAATAGGCTACTAGCACAATTTGAGGGCCATAATATGGGTGTGGTCAATTGTCTTTGATCACTGAAACCTCTTAGCAACACCTGATGAAAGGCTGGGAAAATCACTTATTCATACGTTAGTCTGTCCGACACCCATTTCTTCTTCAGCAAACATTTATGGAAAACTTATTCTCAGATTCTGTGCTAGACAGGAGGCAAGAAAGAAAAAAAGGAATCAAAGGAGAGCCCCACTCTTAAAACACCCACACTCTAGGAGGGGCAGGTGAGTAAAGAAAGACTTATAAAAAGAAGCAGGAGTAATGAGAGCTTTGAGAAAGGCGTGTCTAACTTTGTGGCGAGATTTTATCAATACAGAGCCCCTGGCCAGGGGTGCAGACCTTGAGAGGAGAGGGACATGGGGTGTAGGGAGGGCACAAGGCTTAAAGGAGAGCATGGACACAGGTGCTGGGCTGTGAGGCGATTGCAGTATGAAAAGCAGGAGTCTGGGACTGCCAGGGGATGGAGTGAGGGAAAGAGTGGCAGGGATTGAAGCTGGACAAAGACAGCCCTCTACTCCAGGAGGCATTTCTCATTCAGGACCTCACTTTTTCATTTAAGTAATGGGGAGCCTTTGGAAAATATGTAATATTCCATTGTATGTACATACCACATCTTCTTTATCAAATTGTCTATTGATGGGCGCTTAGGTTGCTTCCATATTCTGGTTATTGTAAATAATGCTGCAATGAACATAGGGGTACATAAATCTTATCAAATTAGTGTTTTGCTATATTTATTGTTTCCAGATATTATAAAACACTCTTCTAGGCACTGTTTATATCTACTGGTTTAGGAGTAAGATGACTCAGATTTGAGTGACATTTCAGTCTAGAAACCCTGAATAAATCATTTACATAGTATGTCTGATCTTACGAATCACTTTTAAAAAAAGTTTTATTTCTTATAAGTTTTTATTTGTTAATTTTCTTTTCTTTTTTATTAAATATATTTTATTGATTTTTTTACAGAGAGGAAGAGAGAGTTACAGAGATAGTTAGAAGCTATCTATCTGCTGAGCCAAACCGGTTTCAGCTTTATTTGTTAATTTTCATCTGAGAATTTTTTTCTTATTGATTTAGAGAGAGAGAGGGAGGGAGAGAGGTAACGTCTGTTGGTTGCCTCACACAGGGGAAATTGAACCTGCAAGCCAGGTACATGCTCTTGACTGAGAATTGAACCCGTGACACTATGGTGCACAGGCAACACTCTAACCATTGAGCACCCAGCCAGGCAAGGTTCTCTTTTCATAAAAGAAGGGCAATAACACCTGGTTGGGTGGTCCAAATGAACTAATACATGTGAAATGGACAAAAATAAGTCATAACAAAAGGGTTTTGAACGGTTGCTACTCCTTTGGCTTCCTTACTTGGAGCACCAACATTTAGGGTTCACTCCTTAACTTGGAACATTTTGAAGAGAACAAAGGACAATATGGGAATGAATTCACACAAGGATTAATACGGTTTACTGTAAGTCAGCATAAGCATAATTGTTTATGACTCTAAGAAATATACAATAGACTTCTAATTTATGGTTCCTATTTGTGAAGAATTGAACAAAATCCTTGGCCAACTGTGGTCTGATTTAGTTCAGATACTTCTGAGATTGTCCAAAATTTTCTTTTCCTCTTCTACTAAAAATCCCATATGTTGTGTTTTTCACTTATCCTGAAATAAACTGCATTGCATTGAACCCTTAGTACTCTGTGGAATATGCAAGTTGTTTTTTGTGGTTTTTTTTTTCTTTCCCCTTTCTGGTTGCAAAACTAAACTTTGATAAAATCACTTAGCAGTTGTAATTAGTCACTACTTTTTTATTTGAATGATTTTTTTTGTTTGTTTGTTTAGAAAGAGAGAAAAGAGAAGAGAAACATTGATGCAAGAGCAGAATATTGATTGACCGTTTCTTGCATACTCTCCACCAGGAATTGAGCATACAGCCCAGGCATATACCCTAACCCAAGAACTGAAAACAAAAACCAGCCAGGGCACTACTTCTTTAATGCATAGCTTTGCTGTCAGACTTCACCTTGGCTCCCTCTCTTCCTGAAATCTGAGTGCCCTATACTGTCTCCTATGGCAAGTAAATGTTAAATGTAGTTCCTTTTGGTGAAGAGATACTTTCAGAACTCATCTATCCTGAAAATAGATCTCCACTATAATGATATCTGAACACAAAAATACTATTAGACATCTGATTACTGTAACTCAGTTTTATTAAATACTACAGGCCCTGTGCATGAATTTGTGCATGGGTGGGATCCCTCAGGGTGGCCTATGGGAATCAGGCCCCAGCTGGTGCCCCCAGCCTCGCTTGGCACCCCACGTTGGCCTGGCGTTGGTTCTTCACCTGCTCCTCCATCCCACCTGTAGGGCGATTGATAGGGGCCCACCTGCCTCTCCCAAGCTCCCTCAGTACCTGGGAGCCAGGAGGTGGCCCCACCATTCGCCGTACCACTGGTCACCATCTGTGTGTCGATGGGACCCCCACTTACACCTGCCTTGGCCTGGTGCCACCCACTCACCTGCTCCAGCACGGGTCGCAGTCCTGCTGTCTTCAGGGCCCATTGGGGCCAGCAGTGCCTCCACTGCCGTCCACTGCCAGCACCATGTCGCCAACGCCCACCATGTTCTGCGCCGCCCCCTGGTGGTCAGCACGTCATAGCGAGTGGTTGAACTCCCGGTTAAACAATTTGCATATTAGGCTTTTATTATATAGAATTTCACATCCACCAATGAGTGGGACATAAATGCACTTTCAAAAGTTTAATTTCTGTGATGAAATGAGTTTACTTTTCTTAGTTTCCTTGCTTTTAGTGTTTTAATTTTAAAAAGTCTTCAAATCATTTCAGCTTTGGCTCGAGAAGTACTGTATAAAATGTAGCCCTTCACAGGGAAGTCTTCAGCTGGGAGATGTGTTGGAAGAAAGGTGAGAAGCAAGGAAACTGCATTCCTGCCTTAGCCTCAGGGCTTCTCTCACCATGCCTGAGAAGACTGAGACAAAAGTGAAAAGCCAAGAAACTCAAGCAGCCTCAGAATTACAGCTATCTACGACTTACGTAACATCAAAATGTGATTTTTGTCAAACAAGGCAATAATCTATTACAATAAAAGCAAAATACAGTAATTAGACCCGATGAAGCTGTTGCTGCGAGGGAAGTCCAGGTCTCAGGTGCCAGAGGGAAGCCGGTGCCAGCAGCTGGGGGAATGAAGGCCTATTCTTACACTGATTTTGTGCATCAGGCCTCTAGTGATAAAAATAAAAATAAATCACCTGAATTCTTTTTGGAAAAAGGTGTTACATAAACATGTCTCAATTAATAAAGTGTATTATTAAGCCAATTAATCACCCTTCTTTAGTCATTTATATAAAACACTAAGATGCTTCCCTGGTTCTTAGCCTCAACTTTGTACCACAGCTCACACTCTAGGACAGTTCACTGCTTCTGGTCATTATTAGAAACAATAACAATAACAGAACCTTATCTCTATTTAAATTTGCAAATATAGCAGAAACCACAATTTTAGTTTAAAAGTTTATATTTGCTATAGGGAAATTTAAAACTAGAACATGATAGAAAAGTAGAGTTCTCTGAATCACTTTTCACTTTTCATCAACATAATCCTGTCTCCTCCAAGACTCTTTCTTATAGTCATCCTAGGATTTATCTGATGAAAATAATGAAAAGATTGCCTTAAAAAAACACCCCAATAACAGAATATTGTCATCTTATCACATCATTTCTCAACGGTACAGAAGATTTAGGTGGTACATCAATGAATATTTTAAATTATAAGTTTATAGTGACCTTGATGGAAATTAGAATATAATTAGCATGTAAACTCAATTTTCATAAATATTTACTAAGGCTAAAAATTCAATCCCTTAAAATTTTAAGTGAACACTACATATGGTAAAACTGTATAGGAAGTGTGCAAATGCTGAAGTTTGAGAAATATTGCTCTTTTCTGTTTATTTCAAGTTTATGTGACTAGTTACACTATATCATTGCTTTGATTAATCAATGTTTATATAATTTAAGAACTTTGCAATAAAACTTACAGGTGAATAATCATAGGTTATTGTCTATAGAATTTCTGGTCATTAAAAAGTTTTATATCAGATTTGGAACATGACTTCTAATATAATTTTGTTCACAAAATAAATTATGTTTACTATTTATAACCTCTCTTGAGGATATATTATGCTATCAGTTTAAAGTCTAAATTTACTTGGTATCTATGCATTGTTTATAAACTTCCTTTCCATTATGAATAACTTTATATTGAATGAAATGGAAAAATATGACAAAAAATATTCTACATTTATATATCATATGATTTCCCCATGAGTTATGTGCTGCTGAGTAAGTGAAGGTCCGTGGCTTATAACTTTCTCACATTTATTATATTCACATAATTTCTCCCGAGTATGGATTTTCCTATGCTGATTAAGGTGTCCACTCTGGCTAAAGGCTTTCTCACATTCATTACATTTATAGGGCTTCTCTCCTGTATGAATCCTCTCATGCTGATTAAGATGTGTCTTCTGGCTAAAGGCTTTCCCACAAAAATTACATTCATAAGGCTTCTCTCCAGTATGAAGTCTATGATGTTCAGTAAGGGATGTGATACGGCTAAAGGCTTTACCACATTGATTACATTTGTAGGGCCTCTCTCCAGTATGAATCCTCAGATGTTGAGTAAAGGATGAATGTTGACGAAAGGCCTTCCCACAGTCATTGCATATAAAAGGTTTTTCTCCGGTGTGAATCCGCTGATGTTGAATAAGATGTATCCTCTGGCTGAATCTTTTCCCACATTCATCACACTTATAGGGCCTCTCTCCTGTAAGGACTACCTGAGGTTGAGTAAAAGCTGAGTTGTGGCTGGAGGCCTTCCTACATTCATTGGGTTTCTCTTCAGTATGAATATGATTAGTAAGAAGAATATGTTGATTGAAGATTTTCCCATACCTGTTATATTCATAAGTATTTTCTCTTACATGGTTTCCTTGAAAGTAAATCAATTCTGAATTATGTTTGATGCTATTTCCTTGTGTGTTTGAATTAAGGGGTATCTTAATTGAAGAAATTCTCTGATGCATAATAAGATTTGAGTTCATTTTATAGTTTTCATCAAATTTGTTACATTCAAGGCTTCTCTCCTGTGGGACCTTTTTTTGGGCAAAAGATTCTTGTCCTAAATGCCTCTGCTGATTTTCTTGATTAAACGCCAACTGGTAGTCAAAATCCCAGAGTCCTCCTAGAAGGGAGTACCAGAAACTATCTCCTGTTAATCTCTCCATTATCATGTTATAGGTTTGAGTTTCATCAGAAACATTCTGGTATGGAGTTGATTTTTTGACTTCAGGTCTATTTTCTGCATCTAAAAGAAGATTAGAACAAATTAAGAAGAACAAATTGATAGTTACAAAATAGTCATGGTAATGAAAAGTACAGCATGGAGCATATCTATACTAGTAAAAGGGTAATATACTAATTAGACCAGACATCCTTCTGGACAAAGCCACGGTGGTGGGGGCCAAGGCAGGGGCAGTTAGGGGTAATCCAGGCCAGCAGGAGAGGGCAGTTATGGGTGACCAAGCAGACAGGCAGAGTGATTAGGGGCGATCAAGCAGGCAGGCAGGTGAGCGGTTAGGAGCCAGCAGTCTGGGATTGTGAGAGAGATGTCTGATTGTGGGATTGGGGCTAAACTGGCAGTGGGATATTCCCTGAGAGGTCCCAGATTGTATAGGGTGCAGGCTGAGCTAAGGACCCCCCCTACTCACACACAAATTTCATGCACTGGGCCTCTAGTATTCAATGCAATAATAACTATATATGGTTCCAGGTACTAATAAAAAAAGTTTATAGCAAAATATTTCTAATGACAGAAAAGAAATTCAGAACATACTATTACTTTGCAGCATTCTTTTTTTAAATTATTAAATATATTTTATTGATTTTCCACAGAGAGGAAGGGAGAGGGATAGTTAGAAACCTCGATGAGAGAGAAACACCCACCAGCTGCCTCCTGCACACCCCCCACTGGGGATGTGCCCGCAACCAAGGTACATGCCCTTGTCTGGAATCGAACCTGGGACCTTCCAGTCTGCAGACCAATGCTCTATCCACTGAGCCAAACTGGTTTTGGCTGCAGCATTCTTTATGTTTTAAAAAAACTGTTGCATAATAAATTACCAAATAAAATTGATAATAATGCAAACAAGGCATTTGTGCCATTGGAAAGTTTTAAAATTTGGCCATGTAACAAGACGACGGGGTATAAAAAGATGATAAGTAGTAAATTAGAGGAAAATTTAAAACATGCGTGGTAACCATGAAAGGAAGATATCATACTGGAAAGACATGGAAAGGAGAATAAGAAGTGGAAAGAAGAATAAGAAATATCAGAGAAGTGTCTGTGCTTAGATGTGGGAGGTATCAGGTATAATCTGTGATTTATTCTATTGTAAGGACAGCTAACTTATTTTCAAAGCATTTCTTCATATTTTAAATATTTTTTTTGTTGTTGTTGTTAATCCTCACTTGAGGATATTTTTCCATTGATTTTTAGAGAGGGTAGAAAGGAGTGAGGGAGAGAGGAATGGAGGGAGTGAGAAACATCAATGTGAGAGAGACATCAATTGTTTGCTTCCTGAATGCTCCCTGACCAGGATGGGGATCAAACTTGCAACCCAAGCACATGCCCTTGACTGGAATTGAACCTGTGACCCTTTGGTGTGAGAACTTACGGTGTAATCATAGAGCAAAACCTGCCATGGCTGTATTTATAATTGTTTGTTTAAAATGATAAAAATAATGATCGCTTATAGTAATATATTCAAATAATATAGAAATACATAAAGAATTCCATCCCTTAAAGGTGATCATTATTAATAGTTTGGGCTTGCCAGATTTTTCCTATGTTCAGACAAATACAAATGTAAACTGTGTCTTGAACAAGCATGACTCATATAATAGAAATAATAATAGAAAAGTTTGAAATAGTGAAAATTACCAAATTGCGATAAAAACAAAATTTCATTTCAGTCTCCTACCACTTTAAAATTTGTTTAGTGGGCATATTCTTTCTCTGCTTCTACATGAAGATTTGGACAATTCCCAGGACTGTCCCTTTAATTCTTATGTAACAGATAAACCTATTACATTGTCATAAATGCAGTCTCTATTGAGCAATTAAAATGTTCAGTCACATGTAACAGTGAAAATCCAAAATTAACCCTTTTCCTCTTTCCTGGGTCTGTGACAGAGTCATATTTCTTGTCTCTCCCTGCCTGCCTATTCTCCCACTCTTCTCTCTTCCTGTTCACCCTTCCCTCAACTCTGCTGTCTCCATGCAAGTCTTTTTCTGACTCTGTTCTCCTTGTTCCCCATTTAACTATTTCCATGCTCACCTCTTCCTTCACTCACTACTGTTGCTTCGTTCCATGTAACAAAAATTGGAGGGAGGAGGGATTAGGAGATAGGACAATTTTTGTACGACTGGGTGGCTTCATATTCGCAGGTTAGCGGATGGTTAAGCTGACTCACTTTGGAAACATCTGTGGATCTTGGGAGGCTCTCTCTCCTGTCATTGGGAAAGACTAGCTCTGCCTTCTGCTATAGGTTCCTACCCTGGCAATTCTCCTGCAAAGGAAGTTTTTAATTTTCTTCCTTTAGTTTTCTATTCCCTGGGATCTAGGCATGGAGGTTCATAGAAATAATGTCACCCACTGTTGTCAGGGAAAGGGCTAGGGGTTCTTGACAAAATGTTTAAATTATCAATCTTTACTGATGGAATGCCAGCACTGGTCAGGCCAAAATTCAGGTTCAGGTTCAGTGAGAGTTGAATAGGAATAAAGTTTTCTGCCAAATACAATCTAGAGCACTAATAGCAAAAAGCACAGCCAAGGCTGTCATATTGAAAAAGCATAAGATTGGCCAAGACCAGTTTGGCTCAGTGAATAGAGTGTTGGCTTGCCTCCCAGAAAAAAATTTTAGTGACACAAGCAGGATATATCACAAAGGTGAGCATGAGAATAAGAACCAGGGTTATGGGTTTCAGACGATTTAAAAAAGTTTGATAATGAAAGAAAAAGGAAAAACTGAAAAGTAGGTAAAAATGGCTGATATGGAAAAGAAAGATTTAAAGACCAATAAAGGATCTATAAATAGAAAATGCTATGTGGAGATATGCAAATGCTATTTGCAGCATCAAGGCATTTATGTACATTCCAACTAACACCTTCAAAATAACTTTTGTGCTATGCTAATTTTTTAATAATAAGCATAATGTTTAATCAGAAAGAAATAAGAGAGCCATTTCCACTTTGTGAAAAAATATGAACTAGATTTTTAAAAAGTGTTTAGGATTCTTTAAATCCAGAGAAAGATATTTGTAGCACATTCAGGTGGGCATTTCAAAAGTGACTATTTCCCTTCACTCAGTGGCAAATGTTAAAATGCTTGCTTCTCACCTGGACGAGTATCTACTGGGCTGTCTGTTTCCATCAGACACTGCTCTTCTTGCTCCAACTGAGTGATCACCTCTGGCTTATAAAGTTGATGACCTATTCATGGGGGAAAATGTATCTCAGAAGTTTATACTGGAAACAAAGAAATTTTTAGTCTTGAAAGGCATCAAAATAAAGGTGCCCACCTCAAATTCAACAAAGTCAAGACTTTTTACCTGAGGAGAAAGAGCAGGACACAAAGGTCTCTATGAAACTGGTTAGCATTCTTCTGTCCCAGCCTGAACTATATTCACAAAACCTTAGGAGGTTTTCACTACTTGAGAAAATAGAGCAGTCCTCTTTTATCCCTGGTTTCACTTTTTGCAATTTCAGTTACCTATGATCAACCACAGTCCAAAAATATTAAATGAAAAATTCTAGAAACAAACAATTCATAGTTTCATTTTTTTATTTACTTTTATTATTTTTTAACTTAAAATATTTTTTATTGCTTTTAGAGAGGAAGGGAGAGAGAGAGAGAGAGAGAGAGAGAGAGAGAGAGAGAGAGAGAGAGAGAGAGAGAGAGAGAGGAAGAGAGAGAGAGAGAGAGAGAGAGAGAGATATCAATGATGTTTGAGAATCATTGATGGGCTGCTGCTTCCTGCATGCCCCCTATTGGGGAGCAAGAATGTGCCCTGACCAGGAATTGAATTGTGACCTGCTGGTTCAACCCCTGAGGCACACTAACTGGGCTATTTTTTTTTTTAACTTTTTAAATTGAAGTTATTGGGGTGACATTGGTTAATAAAATTATATAGGTTTCAAGTGTACAGTTCTATGATGCATCATCTGCCTATTGCATTGAGTATCTACCACCCAGAGTCAAATCTCCTTCCATCACCATATATTTGACCTCTTTACCCTTTACTCCCTCTCATCCCCCTTCCCTCTGTAGCCACCATGTTGTCTGCATATATAGGTTTTGTATATTTATTTGTCTTATTTGTTCATTTGTTGCTTTCAGTTTTATATCCTACATCTGAGTGAAGTCATTTGGTTCTTGACTTTTTCTGACTTACTTTACTTAGCATGACATTCTCAAGATCCATCCATGTTTACCATACTGTTGTCTATGAGGTGTTTTTTGTTGTTTAATCCCTTCATCTTTTTCATAGAGGTTCACAGAAATAATGCATAGAGGTTACCATACTATGTTTACCATGTTTACTATACTGTTGTTTATGAGGTGTTTTTTGTTGTTTAAGCCCTTCATCTTTTTCACTCAGCCCCCTTGCTCCCTCCCTGCTGACAGCTATGAGTCTGTTTCTATTTTGTTTAATTTATTTTGTTCATTAGATTCCACATATAAGTGGAATCACATGGTGTTTGTCTGTCTCTGACTGGCTCATTTCACTTAGCATAATACATTCCAGAAACTGTGATAAAATCTTGCACCATCACCTCTATCCCGCCTAGGACATGAATCATCCCTTTGTCCAGCATATCAACATTGTAGATGCTCCAGGCCTATTAGTCACTTGGTAGGCATCTTGGTTATCAAATCAACTGTCTTGGTATCAAAGTACTTGTGCTCTGGTAACAGTTACTTTACACAACTATGGCCCTGCCCAAACCGGTTTGGCTCAATCGATAGAGCGTAGGCTTGGGGACTGAAAGGTCCCAGGTTCGAGTCCGGTCAAGGGCATGTACCTTGGTTGCGGGCATATCCCCAGTAGGGGGTGTGCAAGAGGCAGCTGATCGATGACTCTCTCTCATCAATGTTTCTAACTATCTCTCTCCCTTCCTCTCTGTACAAAATCAATAAAATATATTTAAAACAAACAAAAAAAAAAACCAAAAAAAAAAACAATGGCCCCAAAGCACAACGGTAGTGATGTTGACAATTCAAATATGCTGAATAAAAGCCATAAAGTTCTTTCTTCAAGTAAAAAGGCAAAAGTTCTCAACTTAATAAGGAAAAAAAATTATATGCTGAGGTTGTTTAGATTTATGGTAGAAGCACATTTTCTATCCATGAAATTGTGAAGAAAAAAGAAATTCGTGCTAGTTTTGCTGCAACACCTCATGCTGGAAAACAAATCAGTTTCACTAAAACAGAGATGTTGACAGGATGCCATGAAGGTCTGTCAACAACCTTAATTGCTCTAACCTTTAGTTGAGATATTGTTAGCTGAAGCAGAATCTACCTTGTTTGTTCCGTGAAAGTTTCTGTTATTTCCTGCCTAAGGGCTACATGTAAATTTCTGTTACCTAAGATGTTTTCCCCAAAGCCTCAATAAAAGGAGATGGCAGGGCTAGAGCAGGTAGTAGTTCTCCCACTGGAGTTGGACTACCGCCTGGCCCCCCATATCACCAAACTGAATTTCTTCAAGTCTCTTTTCATTTGTGTGTGGCCCTTCTCCAGAACCTGAACCCTGAATTGGAACTCTTTCTACATGGGCCGTGAAAGAGAGTCCTATAACCTCAAACCACAAAAGTTATGGCCAGAGTATGAAAGTGCTTAGTCCAGATGGATGAGGCATTAAACTTTATCATAGGTATGTATGAATAGGAAAAACATAGTATATGTAGGATTCAGTACTAGCCATGGTTTCAGGCATCCCCTGCAGATAAGGGGGGGACTACTATAAACCCATGGGAATGGCTTCCAGTTCTACAGGGATATCATTCTTACCCAGAGCGACCAAATTCCTGTAGTTTTCTAGCATCACATCTCGGTAGAGGTTCTTCTGAGCAGGGTACAGCTGGTCCCACTCCTCTCTGGTGAAGTCCACAGCCACGTCCTGGAATGTCAGGGACTCCTGAAACATCAAGGACATCCCTGCTCAGCCAGAAACAGTTTTTTAAAAAACTGGGCCCTCAGGGGAAGGAGCAAAGGTACAGCAGGAGACAAAGGTTAAGAATGATTTTCAGTAACCACCAGAGGGTCACCTTGATGATAGCGAACAGCACCCCACCTTGGTCTGGTGCCTCGGCTCACTTGCTCTACCATCCTGCTGTGGCTGACACCTGCCATGTTCTGTACCCATCCCCTGGTGGTCAGCGAACATCATAGCAACTGGTTGTTCAGTTGTTCTGCCATTCGGTCTATTTGCATATTAGGGTTTATATATAAAGATAATATACATTTCAATTTGCAATTTATTATTATACTAGAGGACTGATGCAGCTGCAGCTGGATGTGGTCTGGAAGGTTGTCCAGACGGTTGTTCTACTGTTCAGTCTAATTAGCCTATTAGCTCTTTATTATATGGGAATGTCTCTCTCTAACTATAAGCCACTTGGGTTTAGAACCATGTTTGTTTTGCTCACTGATATATATCTGATGCCATGCATAATTTCTGGCACACAGTAGCTGCTCAATAATATTTGTTGAAGGAATGAATCATCATCTTTTGTAACACAATAAATGGTTCTGGAAAATTAAAACAAAATCCTCTGGCTAGAGCGCCAAGAGGCACATATGCCACATTAGTTCTCATGTCTTTTTGTTTCTGTCTGTGGGGGACCTTATAATTAAACATAAACTGAATGAATCTATTCCTTGCAGACCCAAGATCCCAAAGTACTAATGCACCAAATAAATGCTCAGCTCTAGCTATTAGTCTCCTTATTGTCTCAGCTCTTGCTCAAGTTTTATTTCCTTTTGCAATGGTTGTCTTCTCTAATTTCCAAACCCTACCTGATATCAGCACACATTAAAACTCTGCCTTCTTCATAAAGTCTTCCCTTGTCCCTCTAGTTTCAGTCAGATTTCTCCCTTGTATTTGTTATCTCTTGCATGCATAACAGCATCCAACATTATACTTACAGTTTCTGAATATTAATTGTGTGATGCAGGCTTTTAAAAATCTCTTCCAATAAGTTTATTTGCTACGTACAGATAATGATTATCTCATAGAATTTAAGACAATAGAAGTCTTCTGTGAAGCAACTAAGACTTATATCTCATATGGTAAGCAAAAAAGCTGGTTAGAGATCCATAAAAGGTATCTTAAACATTTTATTTTAATTTAAAATATATACATGTATAATTTTGGTTCACTTTTTGATGTAAAGTTAAGCTCTGTCTATGAGAGTGATTTTAATGACTGAGTGTCCAAACCCATAATGCATCAGTTTCTGGTTCATTAAAGTGGAACAAGCAATGACACTTGGGAAATAATGTAGGCATAGAATCCTCTGAGATGTTTATGATTTTTCCATCTGTGTTTTACAGTTTTGCTCACACCTAATTTGACAGCTATATTCTAAAAATGTCATTTAATGAATCTTCCCAAAACATTCAACTAATTTTCATAAAAACAAAGTTATATCTCCTCAGTTTACATAATATTTAATCAAAGTATAGAATAGTTAACAACAGGCTTAAACAGGTTTTGGGGAAGTTGTAACAGGTTCTGGATAAAAATTAACTGTGGCAGTAGATGTCCTCAGGCATACTTGATAAGGCCATTAGTTCCACGCAGTCACAGTGCCCTGGGCATGCTTCATTGCTCACAGTGTGGTTGGAATTCTGGTGAGCTGTGTAAGTGAAGGGTGATTATAAAGCAGTCTATGGCTTTATTTTATTTTGCATTTTTACATCTAGCACTGACATGAGTACTTGATCTGGTAAAAATGCTGGAGGGAAAAAGAGCTATAAAGGAGTATATAAGGTAGATGGGTAACATCCAATAGAGATTATAGTCTGTCACAAGAGTTTCAAGGGCTCTGGAGTTTTGGAGTTTCTATTCTGAGAACAGAAGATTAAAAATGCCAAATTCCGAGGACTACAATAGCATTTTAGAGGAGAGTAAAACTAAACTTACCTTGGACCTGACTATCTGTGATCTATCATTCATTTCCTTCTGTTCCATGTTCCCCTCCTGAAAAAGTACAGCATTCTGAGAAGGCATAACTGGGGAAAAGAGAAAAAAAAAAAAAAGCATCTTGTCAATACATGGTATTAAGATTGAACCTAAAACTTGGAGCTTTTGCTTTATGTTAGGATGACAGACCATTTATTTATTTATTTATTTATTTATTTATTTATTTATTTATTTAAAAAATATATTTTTATTGATTTTTAGAGAAAGAGGAGGGACAGTGAGAGAGAAAAGGAAGGGGAAGGGGAGAGAGAGTGAGAGAGAGAGAGAAAGAGAGAGAGAGAAAGAGATGATAGAGAAATACCAATCAGATGCCTCTTGCATGCATGCACCTCAACTAGAGATTGAACCTGCAATCTGGGCTCGTGTCCTGAATGGAAGTCAAACTGGTGACCTCTGGTGTACGGAATGATGTTCGGCCAGCTGAGCCACAACCAGCCAGGGCTATCTTTCACTTTTATTAGCCACTTCCTATCGTTTCTTAAAATCACTTACTGTCTCTCCCAACATTAAAAGCCTTCACTGGCACTGAAACCGGTTTGGCTCAGTGGACAGAGCGTTGGCCTGTGGACTGAAAGGTCCCGGGTTCGATTCCAGTGAAGGGCATGTACATTGGGGGTGTGCAGGGGGGCAGCTGATCGATGTTCCTCTCTCATCGATGTTTCTGGCTCTCTGTCCCTCTCTCTTCCTCTCTGTAAAAAATCAATAAAATATATTAAAAACAAAACAGAACAAAACAAAAAGACCCTTCACTGGCTACATAACCCTTTGCAACTACCAAAACCCTTTCTTTTTCAAGGCCACACTTTTCAAAGGATTGTCCATATTTGTGTCCACATCCTCTTTACCCACTGATTTTTCAATTATCTATAACCTTGCTTCTGTTCTGCTGTCAGAACTCCACTGAAATTTCTCTGGTTAGTAATATTAAAAAAAAAAAAAACACCTTTGGTTGCTCATGCAATAGACCTCATAATTAAGTGTTGAAGGTATCTGACATTGCTAACAGTTGTGTCTTGCTTTACTTCCATGGTGTCTCTCAGTGGGCTATGCTCTAATCCCTTTTCCTCTGCCTACCATTTATATATTGTTTTTTCTTATAATTTTCCAAAATATATTCTTGTCCTCTCACAGTTGAAGGAAAGGAATCTTTAAAAGATATAAACCATACCTAAAAAGAAGAGTTCACTTCTTCAAATGTCAAGGCAGAGAAACAATCCATCTGCCATGAATAACCATGGTAACAAATTATCTCAGAAAAAAAATGAAAACTCTCCAGAAACCAAACTCAAACACATGGAAAACTGTGATTTAAATGACAGAGAATTCAAGATTGTAGTTTTGAAAAAACTCAGTGATATACAAGAAAACTCAGAAAAGCAATTCAATGAGCTCTGGAATAAAACAAATGAACAAAAGAAGTACTTTACCAAAGAGATTGAAACTATAAGATGAATCAAAATATAAATCCTGGGGCTGAAGAACTCAATAAATGAGATGAAGAATGAATCAGAGAGCATGGGGAATAGAGAAGACCAAATGGAAGAGAGAATTAGTGAGCTCTAACACAGAAATATAGAAATGACTCAGGAGGAGGAAGAGAGAAAGAAAAAAGAGAGTTGAAAAAAGATGAAAAAACGCTGTGAGAATTGTGAGAACTATTTGATTCCATTAGAAAAAGCAATATAAGAATGATAGGTATGCCAGAAGGAGAAGATGGGAGAAAAGAACAGGAGCCTATCCAAACAATTAATGAGAACTTCCAAAACCCAAAGAGCTGAACTTTTGCATTCAAGATGCTTTCAGAACACCTAATTATCTCAATGCAAAAAGACCTCCAAGACCCATTATATTAAAGCTGTCAGAAGGCAGTGACAAAGAAAGAAATCTTCAGGCAGCCGGGTAAATAAGACAGTAACCTATAAGAGAGAACCCATTAGATTATCATCATATTTTTCAGCAGAAACTTTACACAGTAGGAGAGAGTGGAGTAAAATATTTAAAAATTTAAGAGAGAAACTAGCATGAATAATATATCCAGAGAAGCTACCCCTTATATATGAAGGAGAAATAAAGACTTTTCCCGACAAAAGCTGAGGGAATTTTCCACAATACTTGCATTACAAGAAATGTCAAAAAGATTTACCAGAAATAAAAAGATATGAAACTCTGAGTAAGAATGCAAACACACAGACAAAGGAAGGAAATTACAACTCTATTTCAGAATAGTGTTTTAATCATTTAATTATAACTTAATTGTTAAAAGGAAAAGGCACTTAAAAGTCTCTAATTTGGAAATGAACACAGAGCATAAAATGAGGTAATTTGTTACAACAAGAACATAAAAGATAGCCGAAACCGGTTTGGCTCAGCGGTAGAGTGTCCGTCTGCGGACTGAGGGGTCCCAGGTTCGATTCCGGCATGTACGTTGGTTGCAGGCACATCCCCAGTGGGGGGCAACTGGTCGATGATTCTCTCTCATCAACGTTTCTAGCTCTCTATCTCTCTCCCTTCCTTTCTGTAAAGAATCAATAAAATATATTAAAAAAACACATAAAAGATAAAGGGGAAAGGGCTGAACTTGCATAAGTGAATGAAGACGATGCAATCAGAAAAAAGGACTATTGTTATGTTTGAAACTTTTTTTTTTACATAACCTGATGATAACCACATACACAAATCTGGAGTTGAGACACATAACATAAAAAAAAGATAAAACAGAAGAAAAACTCATAGAAAGTCACCAAGTGATATAGCAGACAGAAACACAAGAAAAAAGAAACAATGGAGATACAGAGCCACCAGAAAACAAAAACTAAAATAGCTGTAGTAAATTCTTGTATATCAATAATCATCCTAAATGTAAATGGACAGGACACACCAATCAAAATGCAAAGTGTAGTGGGGGGAAAAAAGACCCAACTACATGCTTCCTTCAGAAGGCCCATCTCAGCTACAGACAAACATAGGCTCGAAGGGAAAGGGTGCAAGATGATACTTCAAGCAAATGGCATCCAGAGAAAAGTGAGTGTATCCATAATTAGAAAATAATAGGTTTCAAGATAAATGTAACAAATGACAAAGATGAACATTTTTAAAAAATATATATATATATTATTGATTTTTTACAGAGAGGAGGAGAGAGGGATAGAGAGCTAGAAACGTTGATGACAGAGAAACATTGATCAGCTGCCTCTTGCACACCCCCTACCGGGGATGTGCCCGAAACCAATGTACATACCCTTGACCAGAATCGAACCTGGGACCCTTCAGTCCGCAGAGTGATGCTCTACTACTGAGCCAAACCGGTTTCGGCGACAAAGATGAACATTTTATAATGTAAAAAGGACAGTTCATCAAGAAGACATAACACTTATTAGTATATATGCACCAATGCTGGACATACCAAAATTATAAAGCAATCGCTAACAGAATTAAACAGAAAAATGACAAAAACACAATTATAATAAGGGACCCGAGTACTCCATTGACAGCACTGGATGGATCATCCAAACAGTAAATAAGGAAATATTAGCCATAAATGACACATTAGACCAAATGGGTGTGATCAATATTTACAGAGAGAGCTACCCATCCCCAAATGACACAATATACATTTTTAAGTGCGCATGAAACATTCTCAAGGATAGACTATTTGTTTGGGCACAAAGCTTGTCTCAATAAATTTAAGAATACCGAGATCATACCAAGCATAAATTTTTCCAGAAAAAAATATTTCTTTTATGATTTTAGTACAAACTAAATTAGGGCAATGTATAAAAACACAATTCCATGTTCTTCCCTAGGTGATACATCTATAATAAATTGTGGTACATCCAGACAATAAGACACCACTGAGCGATTAAAAAAAAAAGCGAGACAGCAAGCCATGAAAAAACATGCAAGAACCCAAATGCACAACGCCAAGCAAAGAGGCCAATATAAAAGGGCCACACAGCCTGGCCGGCATGGCCCAGGGGTAGGGGGTTGACCTATGAAGTAGGTCAGGGTTTCATTCCTGACCCGTGCTGAATCCCCAGTGATTCCATACTGTTTCCCACAACAGCTGCACCACTCTGCATTACTACCAACACTGCATGAGGGTTTCCTCTTCTCCACAAACTTGCCAACACGTGTTGTTGATTTTTTGATAATAGGCATTCTGACGGGTGTAAGGTGATATCTCACTGTGGTTTTAATTTGCATTTCTTTGATGATTAGTGACACTGAGCATCTTTTCAAATGGCTATTGGCCATCTATACATCCTCTTTGAAGAAGTGTGTATTCAAATCTTTGCCCATTTTTAAAATTGATTGGTGGTTTTTGTGTGTGTGTTGAGTTATATAAATTCTTTACAAATTTTGGATATTAACCCCTTAGCAGATGTATCATTGGCAAAAATGTTTTACCATTCAGTGGGTTGTCTTTTCATTTTATTGATGGTTTCCTTTGCTGGGCAAACTTTTTAGTTTGATGTAATCCCACTGGTTTATTTTTTCTTTAGTTTTCCCTTGCCCGAGGCCACATATATCAGAAAAATATTGCTTTGAGAAATATCTGAGATTTTACTGTCTATGTTTTCTTTAAGGGTTTTTATGCTTTTGAGTCTAACACTGAAATCTTTAGTAAGTTTTTAGTTTATTTGTATAGTGGAGGAAGATGGTCTAGTTCCATTTTTTTTGCACATACCTGTCTAATTTCCCCAATACCATTTATTGAATAGACTGTCTTTACCCCATTGTATGTTTTGCCACTTGTCTCAAATATTAATTGACCATAAAGGTGTGGGTTTATATCTAGGCTCTCTATTCTGTACCATTGATCTAAATGAGTTTTTTGCAATTACCATGCTGTCTTGATTACTATGACCGTATAGTGAAGTTTGATATCAAGTAGCATGATTCCTCCAACTTTGTTCTTCTTTCTCAAGACTGTTGTAGCTATTCAGGACCTTTTGTGTTCCATATAGAGTTTTGGAATATTCATACTACTTATGTAAAATACACCATTGATAGGAATTGTGTTGACTCTATAGATTGCTTTGAGTAATATAGACATTTTAATGATGTTAATTCTTCCTATTCATGAACATGGTATATACTTCCACTATTTGTATCTTCTTTCTTTCTTCAGTGTCTTATAATTTTCCAAGTACAGGTCTTTCATATCCTTGGTTAAATTTATTCCTAGGTATTTTATTCTTTTTGAAGCAATAATAGATTGTTTCCTTAATTTCTTTGATAGTTGATTACTTGTGTAAAAAGTGCAACTGATTTAAAAAAAATATTTTATTGATTTTGTACAGAGAGGAAGGGAGAGATAGAGAGTTAGAAACAGCGATGAGAGAGTGTCATCGATCAGCTGCCTCTTGCACACCCCCTACTGGGGATATGCCCGCAACCAAGGTACATGCCCTTGACCGGAATCGAACCTGGGACTCTTCAGTCCCCAAGCCGATGCTCTATCCATTGAGCCAAACCTGTCTTGGCTATGTGCAACTGATTTTTGAGTATTTACTTTGTATCCTACTATTTTACTGAATTCAGTAGTTGTAACCTGTCTATTCAGATTCTCTGATTCAGTTTTAAAAGATTATTTCTAGAAATTTATCCATTTTGTCCAGATTGTCCAATTTGTTGGTACATAGCTGTTTGTAACATTCTCTTACAATCCTTTCAATCCTTTGAATTTCTTTGGTGTCAGTTGTTACTTCACCTCTTTTGTTTCTAATTTTATTTGCATCCTTTCTCTTTTTTTTATTGATGAGTCTAGTTAAAGGTCTATATTGTTATATTGCTTCCCCCCCCCAAAAAAAAAGCAGCTCTTGGTTTCAGTGACCTTTTGTATTGTTTTTCTATATTCATTCATTTCTGCTCTGATCTTTTTTTTTTTTTTAAACATATTTTTATTGATTTTGGAGAGGAAGGGACAGGAAGAGAGAGATAGAAACATCAGTGATAAGAGAAAATCACTGATTGGCTGCCTCCTGCACGCCCCCTACTGGGGATCTAGCCGCAACTCCGGCATGTGATCTTGACCAGAATGAACCAGGGGATCCTTCAGTCCACAAGCGGACCCGCTACCCACTGAGCAAACCAGCTAAGGCTAGACTATTCTTGTTTTTACTAGCCTGGGAACTTAAGAAATTTTGAACTTTCTAGTTCTGCATCAATGCCTGTATATATATCCGGACTACAGGTACCCCCCTGAAAGACTCATTTATCCAGACCATCTAATTCTCCCCTGAAGGACTTCCATATCAATCTACCTACCTAACATCTATTATCCAGCCCACCTGACCTGACCGACCATGGCCCCCATCTGCCCGGCCACCTGGCATCCATCATCCTGCCCCTCCTCTGACTGGTAACTGTCCGGCGGGACCAACCCCAGGGCTTCGCATGCAAGGATGAAAAGTCTCACGAATGTTCTTTTTCTCTTGAAAGTTCTTTTGGAAGTTTCTTTCTTCGTCGGAACTACTGTGGGTTTTTGCCTACCTGCGTTTCCAGTTGCGAAGTCTGAGACCCCTTGCATAAAATCTCTATCACTTACCTCCAGACGCTTTGAGTTCCTTCTAAAATGGCAAGACAACGGGGGAAAGGATATAGTGCTACCTACGCTACAAAATTAACACGCAGTAAGAGATAAAAATGCAAAAACAAAACAAACAAAAAAACCCCCACCCCAATAAACCCATGTTTTTGTATTCTTTAAACGTAGAGGAAGAAAATGACGGGGAATGTTTTGAAATGATACCACCCACGCCTACACGAAAACAGATGTCTTAAGATGTGAGAGGAAAACTCCTTCCCATACAATCTGTGGCCAGGGAGGCCTTTTTGGGCAGGGTCTCCGGGAAGGCTGAGGTGCTGCCGGGGGTTCGGGGTCCCCGACCGGAGCCGCCCTCGCTCCCGCCGCTCACTCACCGGACTCCGCGGAGAGCCGCGCGCTCGGCCCCGCCCCCGCCCCCGCCTCCGCCTCCGCCTCCGCCGCCGGCCCCGCCCCGGCGGGAGAGGGTGCGGGCGCCCGATGCCGAGCCGACGACTCCCCCGGGCTCCGCGGCGCCAGGTGCGCTCTGACAGGAAACCCCGAGATGGCGCCTGCGCGCGCGTGGGACCCCCCAGTGCGCATGCGCCCGCTGCGCCCCGCGCGGCCCGCTTCCTTCCCACGGCGGGCGCCGCGCTCCCGCGGGGTTTCCGGGTCTGCGGTTCCAGAGGATGTGCATCATGTCGTGTGTGTCCAGGCATGACGCAAGCCGGGGTCCTGGGCTTCGTCCTCAGCCATCCCGGAATTTCGCTCCCCCCCACCCCCGCCCCTGCCCATCAGAAATATGCTGCTCCCCGGCTCCCGCGCGGCTTCGCTGCACCGACCCCCAAGGGGACCGTGCGAGCTCCCTTTCCTCCGTTCTGGAACACCGCTCCCCCCACCCCTGCCGCTTTATACGGACGAAACTCTAAATATGATACTAATGATTGAATACATTTTTTAAAAAAATTTGGCAGTACAAGTTTATTGATGAGAAGAATGGAATTCTTTTAGTGGAGATAACATTTTGCTTCATTGGGATTCCAAATTAGTTCTCTATCACCAAAATAGATTGTGCATGTTCACCTGCTTCCATCTTTGAAAACATTTCAAATAAATAGATACTGCCAAATACAGGATATCCATAAGCATATGATTTACAGTGAACGTGCTCATTGCTTGGAAGGTGTCAATAGAATTCCATTGCATTCACTTGCTAGCATGTGATTAAATGTCAGATTAATCACTTCTACATAAAGGTTAAGTAGTAACAGCTGCTCAACTGTACGGTAAAGTAAATTTTGCAATACAGAAAGGTCCTTCGCACCTGAAAAATGATATTGGAACAATAATTTGCGCTTGAAAAAAATGTAATCTCTCTTTATTTTGTGTGGGGATAGGGATCTCACTTGTGGTTTTAGCTTTTGAAAGCATTGCAAGTATATAAAGCACGTATATAAAGGGAGGGAGTGGGGGAGGGGATTGATTTTACACTCCAGGAAAATATTTGGCGATGTCTGGAAACAGGTTTGGTTGTGACGTCCACTAGTTAGAGACCAGAGAGGCTGCTAAACATCTTACAGTGCACAGATTAATTATACAGCAAAGATTAATTATACAGCCCCACATCAAAGATTAATTATACAGCCTCAAATGCCAAGAATGCTGAGGTTGGAAAACCCAAGTTTACTTAATGCTGACATATTTCATTATACAACACCAACAATTTCTACTTGTTAATATCACCACTAGTCTTTTGGGGAAAGTTTGTCCATATTAGAAAGCTATCAAGATCATGATGGTGGATGCAAGTTCTCCAAAAACTTTAAAGCTCAAATTTTATCATTTCCAAGATCCATGTTCAGTTATTTTTTTCGTGTTACAAAGCACACTGTTTTAGAAATAACCAAGTATCTGTCCTTTGTTTTTGCAATTGAAATTGGTGTTCCAGGAGAAAAGAAATGACAATTTCTCACAATCACATAACTTGTTTTACTCAAGACAGTCATCACACTTGTATACAGATTAAGTGCTTTATGGTGCTCACCTTTTTCTTTTTGCTGTGAATGAGTGACAGGACTAACATAGTGATTAATAATACAACTTGGCACAACTGCCTTGATTAAAGTAGCAGCGGTTTCATCCACCATTGCTTTTGAATCATCAGTGCAAATGTCAGCACACTGGAAAAAAAGAAAAAGAAAAAAAGAAAGCAAAATTTTGGCGTAGAAGACGACCCCCTAATTTTACAGTTAAAACAGGTTTAGGGCTATATTCGCTGTCTAAGACTAACCCCTACTTCAAAGAAAAGACTTACTTTGCCGTCAAGATCTGCAGGTAATTTTTGTGCAATTTTGGTCTTTTGCCCCCGATTTTCTTTCGTTTCAAAAGTCATCATATACGCCGGAAAATACGGTACTAATAAAACTATGTTGACCTTATAAAGACCTTGAAAGAGTTTCAGAGTGCCCAGGGGCAAAAGGGCTATCCTTTGAGAGTTTCTGCCCCAGGTTTATGAGAGAAGTAAACCCCCATTTTCACAAGTGCATTAATTAGGCTTTTAAGTGCAAGATAACTGTATCTCTAGTTTTCAAGCCATTTACTGTAGACTTACCAAAAAGTCAGCAGTCACATAGAAATACTCTTTTAAAAATGTTTCTAGCTTGCCCTAACTCTGTAGTTCTCAACCTTCCTAATGCCTCGACCCTTTAATACAGTTCCTCATGTTGTGGTGACCCCCAACTATAAAATTATTTTTGTGGCTACTTCATAACTGTAATTTTGCTACTGTTATGAATCGTAATGTAAATATCTGTGTTTTCCGATGGCCTTAGGCGACCCCTGTGAAAGGGTTGTTCAACCCCTAGAGGGGTTGAGACCCACAGGTTGAGAACTGCTGCCTAACTGGTTTGGCTCAGTGGATAGAGCGTCGGCCTGGGGACTGAAGGGTCCCAGGTTTGATTCTGGTCAAGGGCATGTACCTTGGTTGCGGGCACATCCCTAGTAGTGGGTGTGCAAGAGGCAGCTGGTCAATGTTTCTAACTCTCTCTCCCTCTTCCTTCCTCTTTGTAAAAAGTCAATAAAATATATTTTTAAAAGTCTCTAGCTTTATTGAAATGTAATTGACAAATAAAAATTTTACATATTTAAGATGTGCGATGTGATGTTTTAATATACATATACATTGTAAAATGATTACTGTAATTGGGTTAATCCACATATCCATCACCTCATAAATGTCTCTAGCTTGCCCTAACTCAGTGGTTCTCAACCTTTGTGTGTGCGTGTGTGATGGGGGAGGGTAAGAACACTTAATATCTACTCTTTTAGAAAATTTCAAGAATATAATACATTATTATTAACTACTAGAGGCCAGCTGCACAAAATTCATGCAAGGGGCTCAGCCCTCACAGTCCCAGCTTCATCCAGAAGGTCGTCCGGATGGTTGGTCCACTGTTCGGGCCTGTCTGGTCTAATTAGCATATTACGCTTTTATTATTATAGTCACCATGTTGTACATTAGATATCTAGAACTTTTATCTGCAGGATAGTAACTTGCTTCTAATTCTGAGAAAGGGTAAGTATAGGAAATCAAGAAGCAACCTTTTTTCAGGTGTTTTGTGTGTGTGTGTGTGTGTTTGTTTGTTTTGCATTAAAGACTGCATTTAATCAGACCAAGGAAGGGATGGGTGCGGCAGCCCTGACTTCCCCTCTGCCTGAGTCCGGCTGGAAATGCCTCGGTGGGCAGCGCCTGCAGCTGGGCACGTGAGGTAGAGAAAGCACTGAAGGCCACATGCAAAGTCCTGCCCAGGGAAGTCAGACGTGTCTATAAATAGAGCAGTGGGACAGTTCCTTCCTTCACCTAGGCTACAACAATACATAGAAATAAATTCTAGTGTTTTCTGTTTTTGAGGGAAGGGGAAGTAGAAGATACAGGGCAGAGAAAAGGGCTGGAGAGTAGGTGACCTTTGTTTTTATTTTTTCTCAAACAGTACTTTTTTTCAGGGGTTTAAATGTTTATTGTGGCTTGCAACTAAAGACTGAAAATCACTGAAATACTCACTGTTAACATTCTACTAAATAATATAGAACCTTCATATATACCAGTCTGGAATAAACCATACTATACAACAGAATACTATCTGTGTGAGGGAACACGATTAACCATTAGGGGAAAGCGAGATAAATCCATGAACTAAAGTGGAGTAATCCTCAGGTTATAGGTAGGGAAGAAACCATGATACCTAGAGCCATTCTTTAATTCTGTTTGCTTCTCTCTTTGCTCTACCGATCTATAACACGTGCTTTTCAACTATGTATCTCAGTATCTTAGTGCCGTCCTCAAAAGTAGGGTAGCCTGTCCTTCAAAGGGAGTTCTGCTGACAAATCAGTACAACATGCTCTCTGGTATCTGTCCTCCCCGGTTCCAACGTTGCAAATCAGGGAAGATTTGGTCCATAAATACAAAGAACACCAGCTTTGGAGTCAGTTCGGACCTGTGTCTGCGGCATCCCTGAACTCTTGGGCAGGTAAGCAATTTAGTTTTTCTGAATCTGAATTTTGCCACCTTGCATATGGCAATGAAAATCTATGCATTTCCTGTCTGTCATGAGGTCTGAAAGAGGTAAAACACATAAGCACCAGGTACATAGTAAATACTTCATCAATGACAACTATCATGAACTTGGTTAGAGTTTAATGGGTTTGTTTAGACTTTTATAAGCTCTGATTTCTCAATTCTCCTTCAGTAAGTACACTCGAGCACTCCAGTCTCCACTGGTAATCTACTCTGGAAAGGTATGTACTGAAAGTGTCTACCTGGTTCTTTTAGCACCACCCTTTTAAAGCAAAATTCCCCTTTTCCCTTTTCATGCTCAGAGAGCCCTTTGAAGGAGAATATTCTTTGTCCTGTTGATTTCAAAAGGGAGTTTACCTTTTGTTGGATGCTTTCCTCATGTTTGTGGCTAAGTGTATTGTTGCACATTATAAATTGAATATTGTATGTCAAATAGAAGCTTGTATAGCAAACAGCCACATTTAAAAACAGATCAATAGTGTGGACTGAAAGCCCAAACCTGGGGTAATGTCCATATTAGACTTCCTGGTTAATCAAAATTATGTTGTAGGAATACTGCCTTTTACAATACATTTTTAAAAGGTTCTTGTCCTTTGTTTTCAGCTCTTTCAGTCTGTCATGGCAGAAAGACCAGTGTGCACATCCAAGCAAACGCCCGATGATGAAGACACAGTTGAGTACATCTTTCAGATAGAACTCTTCCTTCTGTACTTCAGCAAGATGGTATAGTTTCAAAGCACTGACTCAGTGCTCCGAGATAAACCTAGATGAGAAAGGCTTATGCTTGGACAGGAATTAACTTTTATACTGATTGGAGTTAAGCATCAAAGATGTTTAAATAATTATTGCATGTTTCTTGAGTCTACAGACCTTATTAGTGGTGCAAGAGGTTATTCCTGTTTAACACCAAAGAATGACAAATTAAACCCCAGAGCCTCTCATTAGGTAACAAGAAAAGTGCGGATTAGATGCAAATGTCTGTGGAACTTTATGGACTGATAATAAATAACTTTCAAATGAAGTTTATTTTGGGAAGTTTCTGGGTG